GGTTTGCGCGTTCTTTAATTCGTCTATCGTCCTTCTTCGTTCACCATCCTTCTATACGGTTCGTCCCCCCCTTTGTTTGGGCTCGGCTCTGCCTTCTGCCTCCTTTGCCCTTTATCCTCCTTTAACCCCACTCCTCCGTCCTCTTCCCCACCCGCTACTCTCTTCAGACTGAGAAAACCGTACTGGCCCTCTTTGCATCCCCCCTTTGCCCTCTCCCATGTTTCTTTCCCGGCAGGTCTGGCCCCTCCTACTTTCTCTTCTTCTTTCTCTTCGCTTTCCTCCATTTTCATGGGCATCCATCCACTACCCCAAAGAAGGCTCCTGTCTTCCGCGTGACCCGTTCACCTCCAGTTCCTCCTCCCTCCCCCCTTCCCCTCCACAGCCGTCACCACGCTCCATCCCCCTCCGCCCCTCCTCGCCCTCGTCCCTCCGACACTAGTAGCCGTCTTTGAGTTGGCTTGCGGTTTTTCGCGCCGTTCCACCGCCCCCGATTCCTCCCAGCTGATTGCTCACTGCTACTGTCCGCTGGAACTAGTCACTGGAGCTCCGCTGTCTTGGGAGAAAAACACGTGCCTCCTCCCAGTTCCAGAACTGGAAATCGCGTTTTTCCTCGGAATCGGACCCGGAGCTGCTCCAATGAACAAACAACTTCCTTTACCGCCGCTGCCTCGCTCGTCCTTTAATCTGCTCCATCCTAACCGACTGCGGACGCCGTCTTCATCTCCTGCTCTTCCCCCCCTTCCCCGACGGACCCCTTTCTTTCCTTCCTCCTTTGTGCTCAAGCTGGGTGAAGCAGAGGAGACAGTGTCAATCCACCGCCCTGGACGCCTTCCGAGTTCTTCTGCGAATGCTCTTCTTTCCTCTTTTCCTTGGCGTTCCTTGCGGGGCCTGTTTTGGTTTTTCTTTCTCCCCTTGAGGCTCATTCTTTTTGTTGTCGTCTGCGGGCCATCGCAGCTGATTTTCCTGCTGTGGTTTTTTCTGTTTTCTTTTCTGCCCTTTCTCTTCTTAGCTGGTGCGATGTCCGTCCTTACGGTTTGGCCTGCTCTTGCTTTTCGCTGTTTTTGCATTTTTCCCGTCACTTTTCCCTGTTCTTTCCTCCCTTCCTTTGGTTTCGTTTTCGTCGGAAGTGCTTTGTTTTTCGCACTCGGGTCTAGTTGGTTTCTGTTTGCGTTTTCCTTTCCTCGCTCTTCCCTTTTTCGATCCCCCGATTGACGGGTGGTCTGCCGGCCTTACGCATCTTCGGTTGTACTCCGCTTCTCGAGTACGGAGTAGTCGTCAATCTACGGTGTTGCTCCTCCTCCCTTTTTCCCTTCCCCCCCTCCCTCGGATGTGGGGGCGTGGCTCCAGCAGTTTTCGGAGGTTCCTTCTCGAGCTGTGACAACCCCGCTCGGAGCTCTTCCCCGGTGAGAGACGCAGCATCCTTGGGCCGTACATCACTTCCGTGTAAGTTTTTAGCAATGTTTGGTGTGTTGGGGTTGTTCCGGGTGTGTCTTGTTTTTGGGGTTCTTCTTGATTGTGTTGTGTGTGTTTTTGGTTGGGGGGTGGTTGAGTGGTGGGTTTCTTTCGTTTTTGTGGTGTTCTGTTTTGTGTGTCTGGTATCGTGGTGTTCCTCTCTAGTTGGTCATATTAACATCTGTGGATTCTGAGCCTGCTCGTGTTATTTATGGTATCTCATCTAGGTAGTTGCGGGTTTGGAGTGTGGGGGGGTTGTTCTTTAGGTGGGAGAGGTGAGAAGAGGGAGGGGGGGGGATGGGGGGCGGTGGGGGGGGGCGGGAAAGAGGGGGGTGGGGGGGTGAAAGGGGGGGTGAGTCAAGGTAGGAAGTGATGGAGGGGGATTGGAGAGGAGGGTGGGAGATTGGGGTAAGAGGATAGAAAAGGGGGGGGGGGAAGGAAGGGAAGGGGGGAGGGGGGGCGGCGGGGAGAGGAGAGGAGGGAGTGCTGTTGGGTGTGCGCGGAATTCCGGCGTGGTTACCGCCCACCGCTTCCCGCCATAGATTACTCCCCTCCTCGCTCCCTATCCGTGACAGAGAAATTGTGGTCCTGCGTCCTCCCCACTCTCTGTCTCTCCACCTGAACGCTTCTAATAGCACCTCGCGCGCTGTCTTCGACCGACTTGTGGACCCGGAAATCAAACGACTCCATTTGACCAGTCCCCCCCCGTCTCAAGGCATAGACTGACATATAAAAGACCGGGGCAAAACTGGAGGTTTCATGAGTTCCCCGCTGCGAACCCCCCCCCTTCTTTCTTTCTCCTTCTTTGGTGTTTGGCTTTCCCTTCACACACACATTCCCAGCCAGTGGGGCCGACGGGTGGCCATCCTCCGCCTAGTGTGCCCTGTCTCCCGCGCCATCCACGGCGGATTTCTTTCCCAGTCGCCTCTTTCTACGTGTTTACGTCCAAACGTTTATCTATATTACTCACGCTTTTTCCATACTACGTCTTCCTCTACAAGAACCCGTGTCTCTTTTTAAGTTACCCTTTACCCATTCCTTCTCCTACTAACTTGCCTGTTTTCAGTCCTTACTTGGTGCTCCCTGAACGCCGTCCCCTCGTCGCTTCCGGCCTCCTGGTTCTGATTCCATTAATGAGTGGGGTTTTTTGTACCCTTTCGTTGCTCCCATCCCGACGTAGAAGGTCCGAACACCTTTTGCCCTGTTCAGCTCCGTTGCCAGCGATACGGAGGATGGTTTTCGCCCCTTCTCCGCCTTGGAGGTGAGTTTGGGTTGGGCGGGTTGAGGGGGATCCACTGGTAGCTGTACAGCCCCCCCTCCTTGAGGCATGACTGACTTGCACGAGTTGCTGGGACTTATGTTGCCAAGGACAGGGAGGAAAGGGACGGCCTGACACCCGCCTGCCTGTGGAGGACCACTAGTATCGCCGAGCCCCCTGCTGCGTGAATGACGACTTGGACTTGCAACTGATCGCCTTTCTTGGGTCGTCCCGTCCCGCGGATTCACAACTACGGCTTTGAATTCGCCGAGGCCTGCGAGGAGGAGGAGGAGGAGGAGGAGGAAGAGGCAGAGGAGAGAGATGCAGAGGTCCGATGGGATGCCACTTGGGCTACCTGCTTAATATGTTGCTGTTGTCTGCAGCAATCTGAAGGTGCTGCGTGGACAGGCTCTGTCCTGGACTTGGGCTGTCTGCTGTTTGGGTTTTGCTTCCTTTCATTGAACTGGTTGCCTGTCTCGTGCCTGCTGGTCTTGCTGATGCTTGCCTGGAGTTGATCAGTTGGATGAGGCCGTCTGGTCCCCCCTCTTCGGCTTTCCTCTGTAACACCCAAAAAAAGACCAGCATGTGATTACTCTCTCTCCTCTCAATTCAACAGGTTTGCATTCAAGTGTACAGTGAAACCTCTAAACAAGGGACAACGATGGGTCAACGATTTTGTCCCTTTGTTAAACAGAGGGTCATCCCCTATCTCGTAGGTAACAGTATTAGCAATGGGTTGAAACAAGTTGTCCTTATGTAGAGAGGTTCCGTACCCCTATCTCAGAGGTTCCCTTATCAGAGGTTCGTCCACTGGTATATTGTGGTTTTTGTCCCACTGGTGCCAGTTTTTTGAGGTGGTTTTCTACCACACTAACACTGTTTTTTTTTAAAATTCCAGCCTTCTTGTATATTATTATGGTATGGTTGGTCAGCAAGAACCAGGTTCCACCAATCGTTTACTCATGTGTAACAAACACCACACAGAGGTGCAAACTGTTACGCAGTTTACAGACTTGGCAACACATGCCATGCACATAAAACCCTTCCGTAGCAACACCAAGGTTGTAGTACACCCAAACTACACATATGGGGCGTGCCATACATCAACATCTACATATAACTATATCCTAACATAGGGTATGAGCAATAGGCTAAATACCCTGAACTTTGGGCAATCTTTTCGGAACACAAATGAATACAGTTGTATTTTACCTGAAAGTCTCTAAAAGCATACCCTTTGGTTCAAATAAAAACCTTGGTTTTAGTTGACCGAAAATGTTCGTTCTGTCTTCACAAAACAAGTTAGTGTAATTTTTAATTGAATTCCAACCAGTAAGCCATTTGTCGCTATGGTCATCTCAGGTCACACCTGAGAGTTGTGGTACACATAAAGCACAGTACCTACTGATAGGTTGCGGTTGCGGTTCGGGCCCCTCTAGTTGGTCTCTTCTAGAAATTGTGGTTTATGGAATGGGGTGGTGTGGGGAGCAAACGGGGTAGGGGGTGACTCACAGATACGCGGGGAGGGAGATGTAGAGGGGATGGCGCGAGAAGAGATATTGTTATTCTCCTGTGAGGCTCAGAGGTGTGCTGGTCTGGGTATGCTATGATCGAGTGCTGTCGGACTGTAGCGGCAAACGAGACGGTGCCGTTTACGGCCGACGGATTCTCTTTAATTGACGTGAGATAGTCAAGTGGGATGAGCGACGGGGGCACGCTCGGGTAGAGGTGTCTAGATCTGGGGTGGCGTCCTTGGCGTCTTTGGTGTTCCTCTGCAGTGCGACTCCGGGAGGTGCGAACTAGACAAATGGCGGCTGCTGGGCCTCTCAGGGCTGGGCATATAGGAGCGTGCGCAGGAGCCAAGTGGGGCGGGAGTGGTCGAGGGGCGAACGGGCAGGCGGGCACCTGAGTCGAGAGTTTCCCGAGTGAGCGTGTGAGCGATCTGCCTTTCTTCAGCGCTTTCACCAGGGGACGATTAATGGTCCCTTCATACTTACTCCCGTTCAGTATAATAATTATAACATTACCCCTGGAATATGCTATTTTGTCCACAAACCCTAGCACTCTCAAAAACCGCAGGCAGATACCGATTGGAGGTTCCACAGCATCAGGCCAGTGCAGGACTCGGCTCAATGGGTGCACCTCTAGAACTCATGGCGGATACCATGTTGGACAATCGTCCCTCTATCTCTTCATTTGTCCCCCTGAATATACTTCCCAGGGGACATTCTGACCCCCAAATAGTAAGGTGTCCTGTTATTGGGACCATCTAAATTTGTTGCTAGTGAGACTGATTGCAATAAATCTCTGGAGCTACACAGCTCTGAATACATAAAGCACATGGTGTGGGCTACAAGTTTCAGTTTCACAGTGACATACAGGCCATTCAAAAGTCTCGTTTATAACGACACAAGTGGCTGCACTGAGGTTGTGTATAAGGTTGCAAATATTTGTAAGTGCAGAGCAGAGAAATATGCAGGGATAATACTGTAGTAGTTTACGATAAAAAACATTCACTGATGAACAGTGTACTCAATTGCACAGTTCATCTGTTTGTGTGGGAATGTTGTTCTAGGGTTCGTCCTTGACTGTTCACATGCGCGCTGTCACGACCGGAAATGCACGTGGAACACTACCGAAGAATTCACCGCGGTGGAACTTTAGCACCGATAAATTCGATGCTGCAGGCCTTTGCTAAAACGCATGCTTAAGAATAATGTACCGCCATTTGCGAGTGGCACGCGCACAGAGAATTATTGCCGAACTGCTCGCACACTAGTGCCACAACATTATGATCTTATTATAAACTTACTTGAGTTTTGTCGTCCACTGTACCATTGACTTGCACACCAACTGCATGTCGGCTTCCCTGCAATAACACCGAAATCATTGGCACGTAGTAATGTATAGATGTATGTATAGATGGAGGGGCTGGGTTTTTGACACTTAAACCTACACGTGCATTTACCCCCAAAACACCAAGTGTCATACTCTCAAAGACAGCATACACTTAGATGATCAACGTTTAACTTTACTTGCTTATTCAGGAAATGAATTTTTGGTGGGGCAAATCTCAAATATACACTAGGGCAGGGGGGAGAGAGTGCTGGCATTGTGGCAGGTAACCCAGACGTGGGCACCGCTGTCTTTGATTTGAGCTATAGTTCAGGGGGGCAAAGGCATTTCAGGGGGCCCTCTTGCCCCCACCCCTTCCCCCATATAAAAAAACCGTACACATGTAGGCTTTACTAGACTCAGCACCTGCCACACTGACCTTGGTTTGTGTCGGTGGTCGGGGTGGGGAGGCGACAGGAACATGTTGCGTCCTCCGTCGTACCAGTACAGGTTGCCCTTTGAGTCGGACCCTATGAACTCCAGGTCGTTCTGGGGCGGAGTTTGGGAGGAGCAGTACAGTTTTGGTATGCAGTTTAAAGGGAATGTGGCAGTATAATAAGGGCTAAATTTAGAAATGTTACTAAAAACGGAACTCAATTGCATTCTTTCACTGTGCCCCTATTGTTTAGTTCTATCTTTAGTAACATTTCTAAATTTAGCCCTTATACACATTCTCCTCTGTCGTGGAACTTTCAACTGCTGTTCAAAGAACACATGAAATTCCCATTGTCCATAGTTGGGTACATACTACTGTTTACAGAAGTGCTGTGTTGGTTTTTCATATATACTGTCTGGATTTAAAACTAGCCTTTAGAGTAGCAAATGACCGCGCGTGGAATGGAATTGGTGGGGCTGCGCATATATAGCACACTTGATCTTTATTCAAGATAGACATAATATACGTGAATGCGGTAGAAATTACGCTCTGCATGCAGGGGCTTTTTTTTTGTAATGAGACGTGAATGTGGTATAGACTGTATGTACCACATTGAGGGGTGTCCAAGATGTGGTCCAAAACCTTCTGATCACCGGTTGCTTTTCACTGGAAGATTCTGGAGGGGGGGAGGAGGGGAGGGGGAGGAGGAGGTACAAAAAGACATGTACATACGTGAAGTAGTAACTGTTGTGGATGTCACCGAGTTACAGTGATTTGGCCTCTGGATATTGTGTATGTAGCAAAATATTCCTGCACTGAGGTGTACTGTACATACTGTAGTATGGGGTTGCAACACATTGGCTACACTAGGATATAATCACCTTTTGCTAATGGGAATTTACATGTATCAACATCTGAAGTTTGGAAGTCCTGGCCTACACAATAAACATCTATCCTTGGCCTTTTCAGCTCCTCTGTGGGATGATCACGTATGTACAGGCTCTAAAAAACATGATTCGTATCAACACGCTCACACCAGACGAACCTTTAGACTTGTCGTCCTTTTTGCCGTTGTCCGAGTCAGAGGTCACCTTGGTGAGGTCGACCAGAGGTGGTATCACGGCAACCTGGGGAGATTTGGTCCCCGTTGTCGTTGACGACGAACCGGTATGGCACTGAATGGTCGAGATATGCTTCGGCTGGAAGTCCTCTCGCCCCGATGTCCCAACTGTAGGTGACAAACAGTACCGCAGTGGTTTATCAATACTGAGGTTTTTCTGACATTGTTGCTTAAAAAAAGTTGCAGTAAGTTCCCAAATTATTGCCGTGATTAGCCCAGGGAACAAGTCGCCAGAAATAGATGGCGTGTCTATTTCTGGCAACTTGTTGGCTGGGTCCATCAAAGGAGGTTGCTGCAACTTAGAAACAAAGTAGCCTCGTGTGAAGTTGGCTTTAAAGTGATCGCTGCCCGTGAAGTCTTTTCCTGACACACTTTATGACATCACACTTTATGACATCACACGGTGACCATACAGTGCATACATGGCAGTAGACACAATATGCACTTTGAGTTCAGAAGAACAGCATTGTCACATCAAAGGTATCGTTTCACTCACTACTGCAATGCAATTTTTGGCAAGCGAACTTTAGTCTTGAAGCAATGATTTCACTTTGTTACACACCAGTGTTGATCATAGGGCATTGCGTAAGTATATATATAATAAGGCTGGTAATGCTGGGTACATCTCACAATGCAGACGAATAGGTAGACTCACTTCGCTCGCAAATTACCACACTACGCAGTACACACTCTGAACTGTATAGTGAAGACTTATGGATGTTTGCATATTTACGAAAAATACGGCACAAAACGTTTTAAAATGGATGTATGTGAAAACTACGAGGTAGAAAGGCAAAGGCACAACAAACAAATCAACTACACCCAGGACAGCTAAAAAAAAGAGCTGCCCTGGGTGGGATTCGAATGACACTCTGCAGTCTAGGCGAGCGCTCTACCAACTAAGCTACCAGCTGGTAGCGGTTCAAATCTTCAACACAATACAACAACTTCAAACCTATGGCACAGTATATTCTCACTCAGTATGTACGTATGTTGAAACTACGAGGTAGAAGGCTGTTTTTGGATATTGTGTAAAGTTATAAAGACTCACATGATCCGAGAATTTCTGCCTTCTGGACCATCAACTTCTCAGCTATCTTGACTCCATCCACTCTGTTTCCTTCGGTCCCCTCTGACTCCGCCTCCTTTCTCCCTCCTCCCTCTGCCCGCTCCTCCAACCCCGCCCTTTGTACGACGGGCACGTGAGCCACCGGAGCTGACAACTGCTGAGGCGACACTTTCTCCGAGTTCGCTTCGTGATTGACCTGGCTCCTCGACAAAAGCAAAGGTGAGGAAAGAGAAGAGACGGCCGCGATGGGTATTTTTAACTGAGACGACTGCGGGGTGTCCGACTGGGAAGAAGACGCCCCTTCTCCTCCTCCTCCAGCGGTGGTGGGCTCTGTTTGGGATCCCACCCCGGCGACCTCCGGGAGATCCCTCTGCTCCGGATGAATCCTCACCGCCTGCATTGACTCGAATGTCTGTGGCTTTGGGACCGCGATCCTCTGGACCGATGTCAGCGGAGAGGTCCCGGAACCTCGCTGCAGTGTTTCCGGACGCCCGCCTGTCAAAACCGGCCTCTTCTCGGGAGATTCAAACTTTGACGTGACAGCTTTGCCGGTCGGTCCAGCAGGAGACGGAGGGATAATTGCACCTGCTTTCTTATTTTCGGCGACTGCAGCCAAGGCAGCTGCAGCTGCTTGCTGGGAGAGCTGGAGAGACGCAAGTTTGAGTTGGGAGGTGTGTATGAGGGTCACCACGGGCCCACTGGGGGTGACTTGGATGACGGGCTGGTAGCCCGGAGGGAGCTGGGGAGCGGTGGCTGTTGGTGCAGGAGGCGCGGCCGAGACGGAGGGAGAGAGCGAGGTGGAAATGGAGGGAGAAACGTGGACAGTGGTTTTAGCTGTGCTCACTACTACAGCTGGTGTAGTGTCAGTGGGCTTCTGCGCACCGGTTCCCACAGTGTTACTCGTAGAGCTCACTGCATGTGTGGGGACTAGCTGAAGCTGTGCCTTAGACCCCTGAGGTGACGATGAGGGCTCGACTGAAGACTGTACTTGTGGTGTGGGTGTGGTTTCAGGACCAGCGGGCGGGGTCTGGTGCACCTGACTTCCAAACACGGTCAGTGAGGGTTTTGTTGAGGGATTCGTTTCAGCCAATGCTGTAGATATCGATGGAAACACAGTTGAGGGTGGAGTTTGAGTTGGCTCTGGATTAGCCTCTGCCTCTGACACTGGAAGGGAGACGGTATCAGCAGTGCCGGACTGTGGACACGGTACGTCGCTTGATTTTCGCCGGAGACGAACAGGAGGGGACACGCCGTGTGAGGAAACTTGCGAGGGCGACGAGGAATCGCTAGCTCTTCGTCTTAGAGTTCGAACACTCACTCTCTCGCCAGAAGATTGCCGCGAACTCTGCACAGGGGTTAACGGTACCGGTTGAAGACTGTGCCTCTACTGTCTGGGTGTCACTCTCTGCGTGAGATGCCCCGTCTTCACCGACATCCTCAACTGGTGTTTCAGGGGCTTTTTCTGGTGTTTGACCAGGATTGGCTATGCTGGGTCCCGAGTCAAGAGAAGACTGGGGTGGGGTAGCTGACAGTGTACCGCCTACTGCTGGTTTATCTTCATTGTCTCTCTCCTCGCTGCCTCCTGCCTTGTCCTTTTCCTGTTCGTCATTTTCTTGTTCTATGCTACTAGCAGGAGATGATGCCCCATCTACAGAGTCAACCTTGTTCTGGTTGTCGTTCTCTACATCATCTACTGTAACATCCCCACGGGTGGTTGTAGACCCAGAGGTCCAGCCGATGAGTCATCTATTGTAACACCCCCCACGGGTGGTTGTAGGCCCAGAGGTACAGCCGACGAGTCATCTACCTGTTCCTCTTCAACAGGACCTGTTTCAACGTCTGAAACTTCTTCCCCCTGGACTGGAGTTACAGCAGACAAGCTCTCGGACTGGCTATCACCTATGACTCTCGAGTCATCCTCTGCTCCTTCATAGTGGCTATCATCCGTGATTGTCGAGTTATCCTCTCCTGCTACTTCTGCAGTGTCCTTTGGCCCACACATACTCTCTGCATTCTTGTCCTCAACCGAAGACGAAGAGGCTAAGTCGGTCTCTGCATGTCCGTCAACCTCCATATCTTCCTCCCCTCTCCCCGTATCCTCGGGAGCAGTGGTCTCATGGGGTGACTGCAAAACAACAGCGTCTGTTTTTCTGTTCTCTTCCTCACCCACCTCCACATCCATGCCTTCTTCCTCTTCGCCACCCACTCTTCCACCTTCTTCCGTGCCCGCGACACCGTTAGTTCCCCAACCATCTCAACATCGTTCTTCATAGACTCATTTGCGTCTTCTCCCCTCTCTTGCTCGGTCGTTTCTTCCAGCCCTCCCACTCTCTCAACCTCTTCCTTACCGATACTACTATCAGTAGATATGCTCCTCCCATCGGTTATTATAGTGTCACCTGGTGTAGTGGAATGGATATGAGTTAGAGTTTGTCCTGTTTGAAGTGTACGGATGACCTTTGAAGCATTAGAGGACGTGGGGTCGGATGGTGTAGGTAGTGGTGTAGATGACGCGAGAGTAAGAGATAGTTGAGGGGATTCAATAGTCGTGCTGGGGGGTTCAGGTAAAGTGGTAACAGTTGGAGGATTGACGGTAGGTTCGTTCAGTGACGTAGGAGTTACTTTAGGTGAGTGGAGTTGCAGAGGAGTGATTGTGGGAATTTGTGAAGAGGGAGATAGGGGAGATGGGTGAGAAGTGGCGTGGGGTGGTGGGGTGGATGTGGGCCGCGGTAGAACAGTGTCGGTGGGAGATTGCAGAGTGGCAAGTGGTAGAGAGGGGGGTGCACTATCGATGTTGGAAGGCGGCGGAGAAGCGAGAGAGGGTGGGGAAGTGAGGGAGGGAGGATGTGGAGTTGGGGAGTGGAGAGAAGAAGAATCGGTGATGGGATCCGGTGGAGGAGAGTGTGTGGAAGTGGAGGAACTATCGGAAACGACAGAAGAAGAGGTGACCTGGGGAGGGCTCGAGAGTGTGGTAAGTGAGGGAGGGGAGACCGATGAAGACGAGACAGGGCCAGACGGCGCAACAGCCATCTCTCCTGGAAGATTCACAGGAACGTTGAAAGGTTTTGAATCCTTCTCTGCGTCAGTGGGCCCAGCTTCAGTCTGATCCTCCCCACTGGGTGTCTTCCCGGGACTGTGGCCACCTTGTGCTTCGTCCGTCGTTGATTCTAGCTCGTCCTCTTCTTCCTGGGTCGTCACGTCTTCTTGCTTGTCTTCTGTGACTGCCTCTGCTCCCTCTTCTCCAGCAAAACCCTGTGTCTGGCTTTCAGCACTATTGTCGGACTCTCTCGTGGTTTCTTCTGTTTGAAGACCAACTGTCTCTCCCGTGCAACCTTCTTCTTTCCTCCGGCACTCATTCTCAACCTCCATCGGATATCCTTCCCCACTGGGATCCTCACTGGGATCTTCCTCATGGCTCTTACATAAACCAGGCTTCAGGGCCGTCCCTGCTTCTTCTTCTTCTTGCTCCACAGCCTCATTGGGTGCCACGACTTTCTCACCACCAGTGTCCTCGGCGGTTGAGCTGTCTGGTGTATGGTCCACGATACACTCTTCATCTCTCTCTTCTTCTCCCTCCACCTCTGGCTTAATGATGCCATCATCGGGATTTTTCGTTTCTTCAGCTCGCTGTAGTTCTGCTGACGTGTGACCCGGTTCATCTTCCATTTCAACTTTGTTCTCTTCCTCGTCGAAACTTTCTCCGCTCCTTTCGCCGTCCTCGTGAGGCACTTGTTCGCGTTTCTCTTCTCCGCCGTCTTTGGTTGGAGGAGGAGTCGTTTTTTCTGCCGTCGATCCGATGGGCGATCTAGACAGTGGGTTTCGCAAGAGTTCTCGACTTGGAGAGAGGCCTGCGTGCGTCTGATCGCTGCCACCACCTTCAGCATTGGCGGCGTCTGTCGAGTCATTTGAAGTGTCCATCCTACAGAATGAAACATCCACAAATATATGCAGCAACGTAAATCTTGAGGTGAAGCTACATACATTGGGTTCTAGATCCTGGCACATTAAGCATGCAATCAATCCCTTCGGCAGTGGCACTCAGATATATACATACACAGCGAGTTTGACACGCGCAATTTTTGGTTTTTATTTGGTTCAACAGTAAGCCATGGTGTCTTGAGCACTGAGAACACGCATAGTAAAATCAGGACATAATGCAGCAAGCAAGCGAAACGGCAAAGGCTTCAATATATATGCTTTTGAGCACTGAAAACACACTATAGTAAAATCAAGTCAACAAGCAAGCATAAAGTGGTAACGGCTTCATGATTTTGCAGACATACTACTGTGCCATCAAAGGGTGGGCCGGCCTCGAGAAGCAACACAGGTTTCTGAATCCCACTCCCCACTGGCCCAAGCCACGTACTTACTACTGTATGCCTGCACGGTCCTCACGTTACACGCCGGTAGTAACACAATAAGCAAGTTGCACACACAAATATAGAAATTGATTTCCAACCAGAGTGCAAGCGAACATGCAGCAACGACATTCCCCGCGTCCCATTAGCGGACTCCAAAAACAGATTAGCTCCTCAATGAGCACTGGGGATATGTGGAATTACTGTAGTACATACACAGTAATTTCAAAATTTTGGCAATTTGGCATAGTTTATACGCCACAAAAACACCATCACGCCTTCTTCTAATCACACCTTTTTATCACCGTGAATATTGACAAAGAACACGCATACTGAGCTACAGAGCAGAAAAAATTTGCACAAGGATACAAGAAAACATACTTTTGATACATGGTTTTGCACAGTTTGTGTTGTGCATACACGCACCTTTATGTATATACAGTGTGCGCTATACGAGGAGTAAAATGTACAAGAATGTGTAACACCTCGCACTAGCTAGTCTAGCTAGCTATAATTTGCCTGACAATATCGTACGTACGTGCAAATCCCGGTATCGCTGGGAAAACCGACGGCCGGTATACAGTATCCCAACCCCAGCGTGTACGCCGTGAGTCGACGGCGCGTGCGTATTATAGCCATTTCTCGAGGAGGGAGGGAAGTACATTTTGGGAGAAACAAGGCGGCGAAGTTAGTAACGTGTGTAGCAAGCGGCCCGAGAAACGACACGAAGCTCGCTAGGGTCGTCGGTCAGAGAGACGCGGCGATCGTGAGCACGCAACACAACAGAACAAAAGCGTTAGCTGCACCAGTTTCCGGCGTAAATCTAGGGAACGGCTCCACGATCCACTACAGCTCATAGACGAGACTGCAACAGAGGGTAGGCATGTCTTTTTGTCAAGTGTTTTGAAAGGCGGATAACGATCACGCACAAGGGGGGTCTGGTGTCAAAAAGACGGAATATGTGGCGCGCGGTCGCTCCCACGTACACGAACGTTTCTCCCTCCTCTCGCACAAGCCCAAGCTCTGGGCACGGCCTCCGTTCCTTCCCTTCTCACCTCGGATCCAGCGCGGAATGAATATTTCCTTCTGCTTGGGGTTTTGAAAGAGACAGGAAGTCAATTAGCGAGGAGAGGCTACATCCAAGATCCGCCTCGTGGCCGATCACACAATTTGCGGTGGGTCTCCAACTGGCGCTAAGCTTGTCTCCCGTCCGTCTTCTCACACGAAACTATGTTTGGGCCGACGACAACCACCACACGGGAGCGAAGCGGCAATCGAGCGACGTAGGGCGTGAAGAGACCAACTCCTTTGCGGGCTCGCCCTCTCTCCTTGAATTGAACAAAGATATGCCGATAATGGTATCACGTGGATTCCGATGATGTAATTAACCGCATAAATTGGGTCCAAAGAGCGACCCGCCCGCATTTCCACCAGTAAGTCGGACAGAAAAGAGAAATCCTCCGTTTGTCAAACTCTCACCCGCAAAAGAAGCAAGTTGCAGCTATGCCAGTGTTCCACACCAAGACCATCCAGTCCATCCTGGACCCCGTCGCCCAGCAGGTGAGCTTTGTCAGTCTGCACAGCGTTCTATGGTGGCACCCTTGCGACTTTATTCTTCTGCAACCGGTGACCAATACTTGTAAACCCGAGCCCAGAGCCTTTACTATTTACTCTATACTTACTGAAGCGGTGATGTTAGCTACTGCTGTGGCTCTCTAAACTCTTGCGGCGACGTGGCGGCGTTGACTCTTATACAGTTGTGCCAGATGGGATAGCTATGCCTTCTATGCCGTGACAGAATAGTGTAGAGATGCGTTATCACAATTCCTAAGTATACTGCAGCACAACACACATTGTCGCAGCATACTTATAGTTGGGTTATCTTCCTGCACAGTAAAAGTTCTGCATACATTTTGCTTGCAGCATATTATTATAGTCCATCCCAGTGCCCAGAGCCTGCCTATATAAGCACGCGGGAAAGTGTATGGGGTACACATATTTTCCCTCACTCCCATCCTGGCCAGTATCCTGTGCTAGTGTAGACTGAGTGATTGCACCAGGATGTCCACACCATTTCCTCTGCAGTTCCACACACTCAGCACAGCAGCACAGAAAGGTTAATGTTTTGCTTTTTCAATGACTGACTGGTGGTAGTCTCCGAGAGTTTTATTGTTGTGTTGGCTCAGGTGAAGATAGAGTTTCGCTCTCTGATATCCACACACATGTCAAGGTGTTAGTAGTGTGTACATTTGCTCTTTGAGTGGAACTTAAACAGTGGAAGTTACCAGTGTGTGACGTGATTTGCCAGCTCTCCAATACTGCTGGCTCACACTATGCAGTTAACATCACATCTTAGCAAAAGCGTATAAGTAAGGAAAGGACTTTATTTTGCTGCAGGTTTTTTTGTGCGCAGAAACAAGCCTCTTGCACATGCTCTCTAAGCACGTCATCTTTGTGTTGTGTACATAACGTTGAGCAACGGTTCCTCTTTCTGTAGCTTTAGGTTGCTTGCTTGCACCTATTACACATGTTCATACAGTGTATGGTTATACACTTGCAGCCTGTCAGCAGGAATGCTGCCCTGAAAGAAGCGATAAACGCTGTTCCATTGTTAGTGTTTGCCTCACAGCAGACTGTGCTAACTCTCCCAACAGAGTGCATGTTGAGTGTCTGTTTGCTCATAGAAACCTCTGGGATTGAGGCTCGATCATGGTCTTCCACTGTGTGAACTCAGAAATTGCTGATATGGGGCTACCTGATTGCTGGAAATTGTGGTATAGGTGCATTATTGTATGGTGAGATCACCAGCCAGGCATTGATTGGAGGTACAAATATCTAAGCTGGGAAGAATTTACCACTATCCTCCCTAGTCATACTGTCTCTGCAGTGTTAATCCCTTCTTCCTCCTTGGTATATATGTACTCTGTCCTGTCTTCTCATTCATTTCATGGTTCCCTCTCAGTCTGTGTTCTTCTCTCCAACCCTCCCCTCTCCCTCCCTCCTCTCTTCCTCCCCTCCCCTCTCCCTCCTCCCTCCTCTCTCCTCCCCTCCCTCCCCTCTCGTCACTTCTCTGTTGTCCCTCATTCCCTTACTCCTGCTATTCCTCTCTCCCTCCCTCTTGTGTTTGCTGCCAAACATTGCTCTCTGGCAGGTAGCCCTGGTAGAGAGATCATTAGTGGCTCAGTTCTAGTGATCTGAGCCAGAGGGACCCACTCCTACAGACACAGTCTCACAGTTCACAGTAGCTGCCAGGCCATCTCCTTGCAAGTCACACTCTATGGGCGAGATTGGTGACTACTTCAGTAGTGTATAGCGGGGGTCAAACGTGATTTTCCTTCGCTCAATCTACATACGTACATATATGTTCATGCACTAACTCACACCTCCTCTAAGATGTGGCTTGGACAGTGATGTTTGCATGGAACTTATATATAAGCAGGATAAAGGACTATGAAGGTAGTTAGGCTTTTGTCACAGAAGGCTCTTTCAAAAAAACATTGGATGCCCCCATGATAACAGCGTGTTATGTGACAGTTTATAACCCCCGAGTGCCTGCACTGCGTCCATACCCAGTAATGGCAATGAAATGACTCGCATATACTTGAAGAAGGCATGTCTTGTCTTGACCAAATAAGGGCAATTCCTACCGTGTGTTGTTATCGAGTTACGTTTGCTTGGCAGCAGTCACCGAGGGTACGTTCAATAGTTGATACATACATACATGTGTATACACCGTTACCACCCATACATATCGTACATATCTCTCTGACTTTGGAAACTTCCTGTTCATAACCTATGCAAATGGCCACCTCTCTCCCCGCCCTTTCTTTCCCTCTCCCTCTCCCTCTCCTCTCTCTCTCCCTCTCTCTCCCTCTCTCTCCTCTCCTCTCTCTCTCTACCCTCCCTCTCTCCCTCCCTCTCCCTCCCTCTCTCTTCCTCTCTCCCCCTCCCTCCCCCTCCCTCTCTCCCCCTCCCTCTCCCTCTTTCTCTCTCTCCCTCTCTCCCCTCCCTCTCTCTCTCCCTCCCTCCCTCCACTATACAGGTGTCTCACCTGGTCCTTCTCCATGAGGACGTAAGGGAAGGAAAACTTGTGGCCGACATTTCTCTACCTGTCAGAGCTGTCAGCGCCGCAGTTGACAATCTTATCAATGTTAGTTTTACACAATAGATGTACCATGTCACCTCTACATACCTACATACCACCATGTCACCTCTACATACCCCAGTTAGCCTAATGGAGACATTGGGACTAGGCATTTTAGAGAGGTTATCCTCTCTTGAGGTTTAAAATGTACTGAATATTTGGGACCTTTCAGTGCGTCCTTTATCGAGAGATTCCACTGTGCATGTATATGGAACTTTGCTCATCATTCGTCATTCAATATGACATTGACATATTGTATTGCTCCACATTAGAGCAAACTGGAAGGTACACATACGTATACTCTTTTTGTATCAACTCAAGTGGTTTTCACATTCATTCTAAAGTGTGAGAGAGAAAAAAGCTCTGTTTGTTTTGTCCTTCATGTGTGTAGTAGTAGCACACTATATAGCCATAAAATACATGCTATGGCATCTCTCTCAATGCTGTAGGTTGGGAAGCAGACAGTTGAGTCTAGCAAGGATGAGCTTCTGAAGAAGGACATGCCACCGTCGTTTGTGACAGTGGAGGATGCCTGCAAGAAGCTGCAGGAGGCAGCCGACGGGCTGAGTGCAGACCAATCCAGCCAGCCTCACCACACCCTCCTACTGCAGGGAGCTAGAGGTGGGTCCCTCGAGATGGAGGGGGTGGGGATTCACCCAACACCTGCGTGTGTATAGTGTGTGCGAATCCCTAATTTCGTTTGGTTGAGTTTTTTCAAAAGGGATTTTCGTTTGCTAAAGTTTTGTTTTTCGTGTACGCATATATACACAGGACATACACCAGATACTTGTACGTGAATGCATGGTATTGTTGGGGAGCGGGAGCGAGCACACAATGACTACATTTTCACGAGCCATCCTAGCCTTTTTACAACTTGCACCTTGGAACCACGAAGATTGGAAAGAGGTACAGCCTCGGTCAGGCAGTGCAGCGAATGCCGTCGAATGGACGAGAGTTCTCTTGCCAGCTAGAATCACCATGAATCACGCACCGAGGATGAGACAGCGTGTAAAAATTGATTTCGTATAAAAAGAAGCGCATAATCCTGACGCATACGCAGTTGAATGGTCAGTCCAACGTACGTATAAATAAATCGCGCCGTTCGGACCACTGGTTAGCTCACTCCCGCCAATCGCCAATTAATTCTGAGAACAATAGGACCTTTCAACTCGTCTTTTTCCTCTTCCTCGGTGCCCACCAATTTCCTTACTCTCCCTCCAAACCTTCCTCCTCCCTCACTCATCTCTCACTCTCTGTCCTCTCTCACTCTCTGTCCTCTCTCACTCTCTGTCCTCTCTCACTCTCCCCCAGGCATTCTCCAGGGAGTGTCCGCACTGCTCCTGGTGTTTGACCAGGCCGAGGTCAGGAAGATTGTCAGAGTCTGCGAGGGCATCATCGACTACATCAAGGTACATACATACGTATGCAAAACCTGTCTCTAGTGACCAAGACCACCTCTCTATAAAAGCTACTTGTCTGTATCCCAGTAGATTTTCACCTCCATAAAGTCCCTAATAGAACTCTGTTTTTTGCGCAGATGTTGCCACTTTAGACTGGTTCATTGCCCCTGCATCTTTCTTCGTGATACTATATACCAATATAGAATGAGACAAATAAGGACTGCAATGAGGCTTCAACAATAAGGGGTTACTGAACATAGGACTCACATGTCTTTGTGTGTGTATAAGAGTGACAGGTGCAAAGGGACAAAGCAATAGTTAATGCAATTTCGTGGGTTACTTCCTGGCTAGGGCTAGTGTGCAACTAAATAGGCATGGCTGTTCTCGCACACCAAACTGCTAACCTTTCTCCTCCTCTACACAATTTACAGTCTCAACCGCAACTCCTCTTCTCTCCCCACACCCTCCTCCCCTCCTCTCCCACCCCCTCCTCCTCCCCCTCCTCCTCCCCCTCCCCCTCTCTCTCACAGGTGGCAGAGGTAGTGGCGTCGATGGAGGAACTGGTGACGTTCACAAAGAACCTGAGTCCGGGGATGACCAGCATGACCAAACAGGTGGACGGGCGGACAGAGGACCTCACCAACCCGTCACACGCAGACATTATCACGGCCGAGAGCGACCAGGTGATGACACAGGGACACACTATAAATATCTCACACAGAGGTATTTGGGGTTTTGTGTAGGCACAATGGCCTCACTTGGCACACAACGCATATGACCCTATTTTTCCTGTAAGGACAAAACAGACATGCACAGAGGGGCTCGTGGCTTCCTAGCTTGGCACCCCATAGAAACAACCTATAATATGCACAAAAGATTAGGAGCATTTTATGCACAAAAGACTGAGGTTCTATGCATGCATATACATACATACATACATGCAGTTTCGTAGCACAGTAAAAGTGCACCTGACATGAATTTTTAAAACCACGTTCTTGTTGAGTGAAAATCCTGGTTGGCATGGGGCATGGAAGAGAAAGGTAAAGTTCAGCAATAGTCCCCCCCCCATGTCTCCATATCATTAGTGTTTGCCTTCCACCTTGCATTACTGTTGTAATATGTGCTCCACATAACCTCTGCAGGTGAAGAGAGCCCTGCCGCTCCTGCTGTCCTCCATGAAGGCATTTGTGACTCTGACAAGGGACCAGAGAAAGGGAGCTGCCGAGGCCCAGGAAAACAGGTCTCCACTCCCTCACAACCTCCATAACCTCACTCTGCACCGTTACTATACACCTCCACACCTCCTACAATTTTTATCTATCGTGTTTGTTACGTGTGCTTGCTTCAGGATTCATCCATAACAAGAGAGATTGTAGAAATTGAGTCTTTTGTTGCATGCAACTGTGCTGCAACTCAATGCAGCAGTGTACACGCAAAAGGGCTTAAGCACCAGTATTATGTACTTAAGGGAATGTGGCAGTATAATACATAAATTTAAACGGACCTTAATTGCATTCTTTTACTGTGTCCCTATCTAGATTTAGCCCTTATTTGCTGCCACATTCCCTTTAATCAGGCTCTTCAATTCCTATCAGTGTATCCGATTTGTCAAAGGTAGCTTTCATTCATACTCTTTTATCTTCATCACTTTTGTCGCGTAACTGCGATGATTTTATGCTATGACAAAAGTAAAATACTGGCATGCGATGCACACCGGCCAACTTCATATGCTTTTCTCTAGTTGCAATTGTGTTGGTCACTGAAGTAATCCCTACTTCACCTCTCCCCTCTCCTCCAGGAACTACATAATGATGGCCATCACGGAGTCCATCCTGGAGATCATCCGAGTCCTCCAGCTCACGTCCCCCACAGAGGAGCAGGGGGCGTTTGCGGCGGAGCAGGGCGTGGACCAGGCGGGGCTGCCGGGCGGACTGCTCCCGGGGTCCCTCGCTGCCAAGGTCTACCAGGCCAAGGAGCTGGTCAGCAGGACTGGTGAGACTCCATCTGTACTATGACATACACATACTGAGTGACTAAAAACTGTGACGACATCAATGTTTTCACAAATACCATCACCAGAACAATAATTATTATACTGTACCAAATACAACACGTGGCATGAATATCTGAGTCCTAAATTTTCAGCATAGAAATTAGTAATGATTACGGCATCAGTATAATATGTACCATTACGTAAAATATCAGACGACTTGGTAGGCTTGATTTGCTCTCAAATAATTCTCTACATATAGAGATAGAAACTGCAGTAGTGTTAGTCTGTGTCGTATGTGTCTGCACAGGTGCTGATGCTGAAGTCAACCGACACGGGATAGAAGCGGTCAAGTCGGTGCTGAAAGAAGCCAGGAAGATTGCCCGAACCCTGCCCCCAGAGAAGAGGACCGCCATCGAAGAGATGTGTAACGAGATTGAGGCCCTCATGCAGGAACTGGCCGACCTTCAGGCCAGGGGACTGGTGAGTCACTACACATCTATCAACATTAGGGAGGCAAATTAATATTGATACTTGATTAAAAATTTATAGGCACGTGTGAAATTTTTCGCATTGCTGAGAATTTTTTGTGGAGAAGAAAGCTTCTCTCTGTCTCCACAATAATATATAGGCCGGAGAGAGAAGTGTATTGATAGTTAGAAAGGGTTAAATGTTGGAGCAAAATAACAAGGGTATTATACAATGCAGAGTTTATTACATATGTACACATACACATGATAGTATAATAATACTCTGATTGTTGTCAAAATACAGGGTTATGCCCCAGAATAGATGGAGTAGTATCGACCTAGACTATAGGGCCACTGCTACGTACAACTGCATGCCAAACGGTTTACCACGCATTAATAACTGATATAGTTGTGGTTATTTGCTAGCCACTGGCTGAAGTGTTGCCAAATAAACCACCATGGGCAGAACACTCGATTGTACAATGTCGTGGAATGTTAAGGTGGGAGAGGGCCTCCCTCTCTTTATTGGTTGGCGAGCAAAACCTAACTACGTACCAACTAGTCGTCTCAGTCATGTGTTTTCTTGGGTGGGATTTGCCTGAAACGCAAACTTTCTAATGTATGACGTAAAGGATAGCCTAGCATATACAATCAGGCAGGTGTTCATTTCGGTCAGACCTGGTTTTAATGCCATTTGCTCCGAGAATCTAAGAGTCCAGCTGTCATGAGTCACGATTCGCAAGCCACACCCCCGGTTGCCTACATATGTCCCATGTCATGCATTAGTCGCAGCACGGCATACAAACGTGGGTACAGATACGACCTTTCGCGCAATTGTGCATGTTGTGTGTGTAAGGGGTTTGTTTGAGGGGGCAGGGGGCGCTCACCCCTCTGCTCCTTGATAAACTTGCGTCCCATCCCCTTGGAGTTTAAGTGAACTTTTTAATACACACAAACACAGGGTTTTACTCTTCATCTTTATTATTAGTATGCTATCTTTATTAGTTTCTAAATGAAGGCCTGTGCACGTGTCTGTGACTCTCGCATTCGCTCACCGAAAATGCATTGCATTAGTACACTCCTTGTTAACCACCTCCTCCCTGGTGTGGTTGTGTTGTATTTATATAGGGAGACAGTGCCCGAGCCAAGGAGATAGCGGCTCTACTGGGCCAGAAGATGGACAGTCTGGAGGTTGCGATCCGCAAGGCCATTGCCAAGAAAGTGGTCGAGGATTTCAAGGATCCATTCGGGCCTCTCAAAGCCATGACCGAGGCTGCTTACGCTCCACCTGGTCTGTCACACCCACCATCATCACGTCTTCTAACAATCTTTTTTTGTCTGCCTAAATTTATTTTTGCTCACTCATGCAACTGGGCACACTGTTCTCAGGTTTCCTAAAACATGCTACTCATAAACCTGGGTGCACCACGCAAAAATTTACGGTATAGTTCTGTGTGTAACGTTGAGAAAAAATAGTAATTCCCTGTAGAAGATGTTTAATTTTCGCATGTTGATCCGATATAGTAATAACCTGTGTGAATGGTATTATACCAGTAGTCTCCCCATACTTCTTTCTCTGATATCTATCATATTTTCACCTTTCTATCTACGATTCCCCTCTCGTATATCCTCTATATTCTCTTTCTCTCTCTCCCTCTCTCTCTCCCTCTCTCTCTCCTTCTCTCTCTTCCCCCTCGTCTCTCACCCACCCCACCTCTCAGATGTGGCGGACAGGGAGGAGGTGTTTGTGAAGAAAGCCGCGGCCTTCCAGAAGCACTCCAAGAGCATGGCAGATACTGCGGCGTCCCTCGCCAAGTCTGGTGCAGTCACAGACAAGAGGATGGCAGACGAACTCATCCGTACTGCTGCTAAGGTAGGGAGGTGGCAAAACACAGCTCAAATAGACAGTGAATCCTAGTCAAACCCTGGTATTATAGGATATTTTACTAGGGGGGGAAAGGGTGTACATACATATACTGACAGTCTTAAAATGATGTGAAGCTAATAGTACACGAGGTGCAAAAGCATTTTGTGAGGACCACCTCTGCCCCCTAAAAAAACGTGATGTACTGTACATGTTGAGGGTTGAGGGAATATAGTGTGCCCCTGTCTTCATCTCGTCTCAGGTGAAGAAAGTGGCTCCTCAGGTGGAGCATGCAGCCAGGATTGTACTGGACAACCCCGACAGTGAGGTCAGTAAGGGTGTCTGTGTGTGTGTTTGTTTGTCTGGCGCTCTGTTACCACTGTGTCTGGCATCATATGCTACGAGGTAGCCAAATGAACAATCGATAACAACAGCATCTACAAAAGGCATGGATATCCAAATAGGTGATATGCGTTCGAGAGTTATGGCACGAAACACAAGTGAAAAGCCAATATGTAAAACTTATTGTTTGACCATTCTACGCACCATGGGTGGCTAGGTGTATGTATACTCGTAGTACGACAATCCAGTCCTGCGGTGCCCAATATGCTACTGATTGATGCTGCCTAGCATGTATTAGAGCAGGAAACTGTCTGATATTGCCAGCAACCACCGATTGTACCCCAGGCTATCAATTAGCTGTCCTTTTGCGCAAGCACAGTGTGTAGCGTATGCAACTACACGTCGTTGTACAGCCTGAGCACTTGGCCAGGGTTCGCACACCTTTAGTACTTTTACTTCTGTTGGGACTGGTAGCCAAGTCCAACTGGGAGTCCCCACCATAGCGAGATCACAGTAATGCCCAGGCCACATCAAGAACATATTGCTGGCTGTCAATGGAGGTCTCACACTGGTTTCCTATAGTGGAGTTGAGTGGCAATGCTATTCACCCACCCTCCCTTTTCCATATGCCTATGTGTACTGTGGAGCTGGTTTAAGCTGTGGACTTTTGCCAAGCAATAGGTGTACTCTAGTATTCTGGATTGACAGTGCTTGGTGATGCTGGCACACTGGATACTGTACATACATACATACGCGGAATCAAGTGTAGAGCGTTTCAAAGACCACCCTCTATGGGCTCCTCACATTCCTTTATCGATCCACTTATGAAACTAGTGGAACTTCCGAACAAGGGACACTATGGGGCCAAGGATTTTGTCCCTTGTAGAGAGGTCGTCCCTATCTCGGAGGTCAAATAATACACTAAAGTATATATTAGCATGGGGTTGAAACAAGTGTCCTTTGTAGAGAGGTCGTCCCTATCTCAGAGGGTCCCTTATCGGAGGTTCCAATTGTATTCCCTCCCTCCTTTCTCTCCCTACCTCCCTCCCTCCCTCCCTCCATCCACAGGCTGCCAAAGAGAACTTTGACAGGCTGAAGGAAGAGTACGAGATGCAAGTTAACAAACTGACAAATCTGGTGCACGCCAATATGGACACGGTGGAGTTCCTGGAGGCCTCGGAGGACCACCTCAGAGAGACTCTGGAGGCTGCCAAGGCTCTTATCAAGACCGGCAAGGACCCTCAGGTGAGAGGGGGAGGGAGGGGAGGGAGAGAGAGAGGAGAGAGGGGGAGAGAGGGGGAGAGGAGGGAGAGGGGAGGGAGGGAGAGGGGGGCTCAAGTGTGTGTGTGAGAGAGAGAGGGGGAAAGGGGGGAACGTGAGGCAATGGAGGAGGAAGGAGAGAAGAGAAAAGTAAAGAAGCAAAGAAGGAAGTAGAAGTGGAGAGCATGGATTTTGTGTGTGGCTTTACTCAACATGACAGTGACTTTAATGCATGAAAGTATATTTATAGCCACAGAGAATAGAAAAGAAAGAAAAACCAGAAGTCACCTTTTCTTTCAGTTTTCTTCAGTGTGTAGTTTACTTTACTTGTGCATGTGTGTATTTACTGTACGTGCATATGTCTGCGTGTGCAGTTGGCATTCCAGCATGTGGCCAGTGCGGCTCGTACGGCCAAGTTGGTCCAGAACGTGGCCGAGGGAGAGATCGAGAACACTGAGGACCCCACCTTCAAGGCCAACCTCACCGCTGCCAAAGACCACGTTGCCCAATGTACGTATGACCTAGCTGTATGCATATATCACTAAGTACTGTAGTACTTAGTATAGCGATGACACAGGTTGTCCTGCATTATGCCTATACACTTGAGATTTTCATGTACATATATATACATACAACATGGCTACACTAAAGTGTGCAGGGAAGAAGAGTTTTTCTAAAGGACAGAGATCAAGTTTGAGGACCGCTTCTCTCTCCACGGACTATCTAATGCCCTTACATTTACTGTGCTTAGCTTACTAGTCAAAGAAATAAGTCAGAATTAGTCAGAATATCTAGACTTTAGATTATTGACCAGCAAGGCAACCATATCAGCCACCCTGACAGTTACTCCGTGTTGTATCATAATTATGCTCATCGATGAAAACCACTGGTTTGCGTACATAAAGTGTTTAGCTTACATGTACGTACCTATGGCTGGTATGCTATGAACTATAATTTCATGCACAATGCTCTAGTTTCAGTTCAGTATTGTTTGTTTTGCAGCTGTTGGTCCGATGGTGGCGTCGGCACGATCTGCCATCACCCAGCCTGGAAACTCTGCCGCACATGAGGTCTTCTGCACCAAGGCCGACGATGTAAGCTCTCTTCCTCCCCTCCTCTTCCCCTCTCCCTCTTCTCTTCCACTGCCTTCAATCCTGTACATGAAGTTAACACGAGTTTTCAAAAGGGAGTGGTAGATTAGCTCCAAATGCTTTTGCACAAAGCAACAAAACCCATCACAAGTGGTTACTTGTGAACACATCAAGTAGAATGTAACCTTATATGCACACTTTAAAACATCATCATCATCATCTTGTAGTGCACCAGAAAAGTATAACTTGATGCAGTGTGCATACGTACGATTTCATTCACATAATGCGTGGAGTAGGACATCAGAGAATTGGTAGTTTGATTATGCTAAGGCATAGTGATACATACGTAATACAGTGGAGTCTCATTATAAGAACACTCTTAGTACGAACTACTACAAACACACCCTCGGAGCCTAGCCCAATAGAACACTATACATTTCGTCACAAACAAATTCCCCTTACTGTGAACAAATTCTTTAGGCCCCCAGCAATTCATTACAACGAGACTCAACCGTATTCCTTTCCCACGTGAATCTGTATGTAGATGGTGAGTGCAGTTCACGATGTCCACGAGGTGGTCGACAAACACTACAATCCTCCTCCTCCTCCCCCCAGACCACCCTCACCTACTCCTGAACGTACGTCACACGCACACATGCACACAACATAATTAATTGTTGTATGGTAAAACTTTATCTATTGGCCAGTAGCTCAACTTGCACATGTGATTTTTAACCCTCGGCGCACATGTGCAGCGAGGGTTACGGTAGTTGTCGTAACTGTGTCTCTGTCTCTGTCTCGTCTGTCTGTCTGTCTGTCTCGTCTGTCTGTCTGTCTCTCTGTCTGTCTGTCTGTCTGTCTCTGTCTGTCTCTCTCTGTCTGTCTCTGTGTGTATGTCTGTCTCTCTCTGTCTGTCTGTCTGTCTGTCTCTCTGTCTGTCTCTGTCTCTCTCTGTCTGTCTGTCTCTCTGTCTGTCTGTCTCTCTCTGTCTGTCTCTCTCTGTCTGTCTCTCTGTATGTCTGTCTGTCTGTCTGTCTCTGTCTGTCTGTCTCTCTCTGTCTGTCTGTCTCTCTGTTTGTCTGTCTGTCTGTCTCTGTCTGTCTGTTACCTAACATCTCACTTCACGACCCATCAATCGCTCCACAAACAATACCACGTATTCAGCGTCGGATAAAGGTCGAAATATGTTGGGTTTTCTCTGAAACTGCTGCATTCAGGAGTTACGACGTGAAACACGAGCGAAAAAGCCAATTGCTAATTAGCACAGGCTTATACCTCGAGCGGGTCAGCTTGCTCTGTGTATCTTGAAGGCACAACGAAGGGCGTGTATCAACACTGTACCCTGCCGTGTACAACTCTCCACGAGCTGTACAGTGATTCGCAGACGTCATTATCTGTTTCGTACACAATGCACTCGTGTATTTCCACCAGGTGCATGGTCAATGGCCAATGGCCCATGTGTGTGCCACCTGAGTATACACTTGTTAGCAGAGCTGTTTGGTTATCGAATACTATGTATATGTACACAGCTGTGCAAGAGCCTCCTCCACGACCTCCATCTCCTGAGGCAGCCATTCCTCTACAGAGCGAGAACCCCATTGGAGTAAGCTCTTACTGTACCCTGTATTAATTGGAGTAAGCTCTTACTGTACCCTGTATTAATTGGAGTAAGCTCTTACTGTACCCTGTATAATTGGAGTAAGCTCTTACTGTACCCTGTAATAATTGGAGTAAGCTCTTACTGTACCCTGTATTAATTGGAGTAAGCTCTTACTGTACCCTGTAATAATTGGAGTAAGCTCTTACTGTACCCTGTAATAATTGGAGTAAGCTCTTACTGTACCCTGTATTAATTGGAGTAAGCTCTTACTGTACCCTGTATTAATTGGAGTAAGCTCTTACTGTACCCTGTATTAATTGGAGTAAGCTCTTACTGTACCCTGTATTAATTGGAGTAAGCTCTTACTGTACCCTGTATTATTGGAGTAAGCTCTTACTGTACCCTGTATTAATTGGAGTAAGCTCTTACTGTACCCTGTATTAATTGGAGTAAGCTCTTACTGTACCCTGTAATAATTGGAGTAAGTCTACTGACCCTGTACTATGTAGCTCTACTGTACCCTGTATTAATTGGAGTAAGCTCTTACTGTACCCTGTATTAATTGGAGTAAGCTCTTACTGTACCCTGTAATAATTGGAGTAAGCTCTTACTGTACCCTGTATTAATTGGAGTAAGCTCTTACTGTACCCTGTATTAATTGGAGTAAGCTCTTACTGTACCCTGTATTAATTGGAGTAAGCTCTTACTGTACCCTGTATTAATTGGTGTAAGCTCTTATTGTATATTGATTACCCTGTAATAATACTATGCACATAGACATACATACGACTGTCATTAGAGTGAGCTCTTATAATGCTATATATATATATTCTGTATGTATTAGTTATGGTACGGAAGTCAGTGCTGTGTGCATGATAATGGTACGAGGGGCGTGGTTGAAGTTACATCCAACATTCATGTAACTGGTAGCATGGAATTGGAATGGTTGTCTCTACCATGCCACTTGTCCTGTGGAACTAAAGTAGCAAGACTTTCTCAACATACACACAGGGTAACTATATCTCCTGCAACATGTTGCACCATGGAAATAGAATGGTTGTCTATATTCCATGCCACTTGTCTCGTGGAACTAAAGTAGCAAGACTTTCTCAACATACACACAGGGTAACTATATCTCCAGCAACTTATTGCACCATGGAAATAGAATGGTTGTCTATATTCCATGCCACTTGTCTCGTGGAACTAAAGTAGCAAGACTTTCTCAACATACACACAGGGTAACTATATCTCCAGCAACTTATTGCACCATGGAAATAGAATGGTTGTCTATATTCCATGCCACTTGTCCCGTGGAACTAAAGTAGCAAGACTTTCTCAACATACACACAGGGTAACTATATCTCCAGCAACATGTTGCACCATGGAAATAGAATGGTTGTCTATATTCCATGCCACTTGTCCTGTGGAACTAAAGTAGCAAGACTTTCTCAACATACACACAGGGTAACTATATCTCCTGCAACTTGTTGCACCATGGAAATAGAATGGTTGTCTCTACCATGCCACTTGTCCTGTGGAACTAAAGTAGCAAGACTTTCTCAACATACACACAGGGTAACTATATCTCCAGCAACTTATTGCACCATGGAAATAGAATGGTTGTCTCTACCATGCCACTTGTCCTGTGGAACTAAAGTAGCAAGACTTTCTCAACATACACACAGGGTAACTATATCTCCAGCAACTTATTGCACCATGGAAATAGAATGGTTGTCTCTACCATGCCACTTGTCCTGTGGAACTAAAGTAGCAAGACTTTCTCAACATACACACAGGGTAACTATATCTCATGCAACATGTTGCACCATGGAAATAGAATGGTTGTCTATATTCCATGCACTAGAGGCTTTCTTCATTGGGTTGTCTCAGTAGCAAGACTTTCTCAACATACACACAGGGTAACTAATATCTCATGCAACGTGTGTGCGTGTGTGAGATACATATTGAGCTGCACCATGCATGTTGGGCGTAACACTTTTTATGCAAGAACACACATTTTGGCTCTTAAAATTTAATTTTCTTGTGCATCCAGATTAGGTCTGTGTACTGTACACATGGCCCTGGCTAGGAATGGTGCTGTATTTCACATTGTTTATCATCACCTAGCAACCACCACTACTCCTTTTGCTAATTACCTGCTAGCCCTATGGGTGTAGTTGAGTATGATAATGAGCAAAGACAAATAATACTGTAAGAGTGAGATTTGGGTGCATTCACCCATGCACCTCAAATACAGTAGAACTCCTCACAATGTAACCCCTTAAATGAGGGCACCTCTCTATGGTGTGTAAGGGCTAAATTTAGAAACTTATTGCATTTGCTTGCATTTGCTTGCACTGGGCTCTATTGTAACATTTCACCCTTATGTACTGACACATTCTATTTAACCTTTTCTTGCATCAATTTAACCCCTCCCCACCCCACCACTACATACTCCCTCCCACCACTGATCAATGACTGTTTTTTTTCCTCATCTAACCCCTTCCCAACCTCTCGTTCCCCTCCTCTCCACCTCTCCCTTACCTTCCACTCTCCCTTTCACCTCCCCCACCCCTCCCCTCCCCTCCCCACCACTCCTCAGTATGCAGCTCACCAACTGGACAAGGATGCCAAGCAGTGGGAGGACAATGCCATGGTGCTGGCTGCCAGGAAGATGGCCAAACTCATGATGCAGATGGCGCAGTTCGCTCGGTGAGCCACCCTTTCATCATCCCCTCTACAGTGAAACCTCTGAATAGAGGACACATTGGGGGACATCGAGAGTGTCCTTTATTCAGAGGTAGTACTGCACTAATAGTAACTATGGGACGGAACCAAGTGTCTTATTAAGAGATTCGGAGTGTCCTTTATTCAGAGGTAGTACTGCACTAATAGTAACTATGGGACGGACCAAGTGTCTTATTAAGAGATTCGGAGTGTCCTTTATTCAGAGGTAGTACTGCACTAATAGTAACTATGGGACGGAACCAAGTGTCTTATTAAGAGATTCGGAGTGTCCTTTATTCAGAGGTAGTACTGCACTAATAGTAACTATGGGACGGAACCAAGTGTCTTATTAAGAGATTCGGAGTGTCCTTTATTCAGAGGTAGTACTGCACTAATAGTAACTATGGGACGGAACCAAGTGTCTTATTAAGAGATTCGGAGTGTCCTTTATTCAGAGGTAGTACTGCACTAATAGTAACTATGGGACGGAACCAAGTGTCTTATTAAGAGATTCGGAGGGTCATTTTTCAGAGGTAGTACTGCACTAATAGTAACTATGGGACGGAACCAAGTGTCTTATTAAGAGATTCGGAGTGTCCTTTATTCAGAGGTAGTACTGCACTAATAGTAACTATGGGACGGAACCAAGTGTCTTATTAAGAGATTCGGAGAGTCATTTTTCCGAGGTTTTACCTTACAGTGGAACCTCCCATAACGGACACTCCGAGAAGTGGGACAGCCTATTAACCAACTCCAAGAGGATAATAAGACACACCTCCAAGATTATAGGAACAACCTCTACACACAAGGGACAAAAGTGATGCCCCCAAAGTGTCCCTTGTTCGGAAGTTCCACTGTATCACAAGTCCTCTATGTACACATGTGTGTTGCCCTGTCCACACGTGTGTGTAATAGTCAACCAATGTGTACATGTGTACGTGTGTCTGTATGCAGAGGTGAGGGAGGAGAAGTCAGCAACAGGAAACAACTCATTGAGACCGCAAAACTCATCGTCAAGGAGAGCGAAGCTGTGGTTGCCATGGCAAGGAAGGTTGCCGAGGCCTGCACCGACAAGAGAATGAAGAGAGTAAGCTGACCTCCCCTTTCATTAGTGCCCTAATGAAAAAGCACTAAAGTGCAAACCCTCAGCATCATGCCAATAGTTCAAGGGTTTAGGGTCACCAGCCCTGAGTATGGTGTCCTAGAGTAACTTTATCAAAGTAATTTGCTGTGCTATGAGGTGGTAGAGTACATAATAAAGCCACTTCCTGCAAGTGTGACGAGGACATGAGCTGGATAAGTTGAAGTGTGGAGTGTTAGAGGGAGAGGGACAGTGTGTGTGTGTGCATATGAAAGAGTGTGTTTGTGTGTGTGTGAGTGTGTGTGTGTGTGTGTGTGAGAGAGTGTGTGTGTGAGTGAAAGCAGGGCTGAATATGAATGTATGAATCCTGCAGGCAATCCTTCAAGTGGTGGACAAGATCCCGACCATCGCTACTCAGCTGAAGATCATTGCAGCCGTGAAAGCCACACGCCAGGGAGGAGACGGTAAGCTGTGTGTATAATTATATGTTTTGTCTAACAGCCTACCCTCGATCTGTACACACTTGTATGTAGTGCATCCACCTGTGTAAAGTTACGAACAAGACTAGACTATAATACGATGCAAATCCTGTATTGATCCCAGCATAACAGTGGTTTGGTTCATATAACCTCCCCTCTATTCAATGTATAGTAGCACCTTTTCATCAGCATTGTCATGCTGTTTCGCTAAGAATCAGGGCTTTTGAGTGGGGAGCCTCCTCCCCACTCAAAACACCTCAACTGCCTATAATAATGCCAATGTAAATCACCCACTCGCTCGGGCATTCCCTCTCCCTCTCTCTCTCTCTCTCCTCTTGTAGATGAGGAAGCTGATCAGGAGGCAAGCGAGATGCTGACAAACAATGCCCAGAACCTCATGGGTGCCGTGTCCGAGGTTCTCTACGCCACTGAAGCCGCCACCATCCGAGTCCCGGAGGAGAAGAGAAAGGAGCTGGGGCTGCAGTGGGTGAAGAGAAACTAACACTCTCCCCTCCCTCCCTCCTCACTCTCCCCTCTTCCCCACGTCTCTAGCAGACTCTGCTAACATAGCCTGACAAATCAGTCTCAGCGTATTCTAGTGTCCAGCTCTGGCTGTAGTTTTGTGTTTTATATTAGAGCATTTATCATCAAGGAATGACACTCATGTGCTTATGCTTTTACTTTGTATTTTAGACTTTTATCAAGCTCTTTTTTAGAATGCTATATAGCAATATTTTTCTATGATGGTGTGTAAAAGGCATGATAATTGGTTTTGTAAGTCATTATATATGGCAGAACCACACAACTCAAAATTTGCGGCAGTAACGTGTGGATTATTACACTGAACTCTAATTCAACATCAGATGGCTAGGCAGTCACTTATAATACGCATGCAGCTATGATGTGTGGTCACCCTCTCTAAGGATCGACACACCTAATAAAAATGAGGTATACATCAATTTCTGCTTATTTAAGGAGATACACATGGCGCCCAAAGGGTTAAGGTCTCGGTTTTAATGCATTGCAATTGCACTCCAGGTGAGCGAACTTCTCTTACTGAAAAACATCCAAATAATTATTACAGCACTGAAACAGATATATAATTATTGCATTACACAACACGTGATATCACGAAACATCTGAAATGCATTCCTAGATCTCTAACATAACCGCTCCACACAATATTATATATACACGAAATCACTTGTAACATAAACAATGGCGTACACAAGCCACGTGACATAGCCAACTGCCGGAATCCAACCCTCTAAATACCTAGTGTTAGTACGCATCGTGTATATACACAACAAGTGAGAGAAAAGAGGGCCTTGTGACTTGTTCAAGTTTAGGTGCTCCCAGCACGCTTTCTTGTTTCCTTGACCTTCTTCTCGGCATTCTGAATGTTGTAGACGACCTTCCTAACGTTCCCTGACGGAGAAAACCTCTGTTTTTCCTTCAGGTCCTTGTGCTTGGCGTGCCCTCCGGCCTTCATGCGCTCCTCCATCTTCTGAAACTCCGTCCCATAGTTGTACTCGTCATATTCTGCCATGTACTCTTCGTCGCCAGACATCACTCTGGAAGCAATAATGTAACATCAAGTGCACTGGGTAGTGTATTGCAGGAAGCACTGCTATAAGCCAGTGTGTCTTTTAGTCAGAGTTAGTTGATTCCTATGTTCCCCCGCTGTAATATCTATGGTTCATTCCATGGCACTGACAAAGCAGTTCACTGACAGCTAGACCAGCATTTAGCTATCACACCTTGCACTGTGTAAGCAACAAACAACGTACTCGAAGACAGTTAGCTACATAGCTAGCGTGCTGTGGCAGCGAACAGCTCACATACACACACTGGGCGGTTGTATAGCTATACGCCTGTCCAGCTAGCTCGCGACTAATGACTAATGGCATCAACACGCATGTAATCGATCGGCAGTGCTAGATGATGCAAGAACACTTAGCTGTATATAGCCGTTTCTAGCATAGTTTTACAGACACAACCGTCCTCGCGCACCGTCCAAAGGACAATGGTCTGGCTAGTCGTTTCGCCTCTTCGCTTTCTGGTCGTAGGGGCCTCTGTCTGCACATAGATAGCTAGCTAGCTACAGCCTCGGCTATAGCTATGGAGATTGTTTTTTTGGGAGACAACGCTTGTTGTCGAATCGGGAATAGGAATTATAAAGGATAAATAGTCTACATAAAAGTAAAAGAGAGGACTCACTGAAGTGCAGAAAACTTTCTTTCCGAGCGATGACGGTATGCCGAAGCAAATTGCAAATTGTCTGCTGTTTATAAACAAAAAGGTGAAGGGTCAGTTATTACGAAATCGATATGTGATCTATTACGCATGCGCAATCTCTTGACTAGGAACAACCCACGGGGAAGTGAATACAGAGCAGAAATCTGAACAGATCGTCCCTATCTTCGGTAAGAACGAGCTTAACAGCTTTTCTATAGACTCGCGGAGAGTTTATTTACTCCTCTGTTCGTAGAAATGGGCGCCTACAAGTATTTGGAGGAACTGTGGCGTAAGAAGCAGTCGGACTTGCTCCGGTTCTTGTTGAGGGTCCGCTGCTGGCAGTACCGGCAGCTGACGTCCGTCCACCGCGCCGTGAGACCCACTCGTCCGGACAAGGCTCGGAGACTCGGCTACAAGGCCAAGCAGGGCTACGTCATCTACAGGGTGCGCGTTAGAAGGGGTGGACGAAAGAGGAAGGTCCCCGCAGGTCACAAGAGGGGTAAACCCACCAATATGGGAGTCACTCAGCTCAAGTTCCAGAGGAGTCTTCGCTCTGTGGCAGAGGTTAGACGTAACATTGAATGGCTAATATACTGTCCTAGAACTAAGAAGCATATTGAACCTGCAACAGCGGAACCAACGGAACTGGTGTGTATGCATAAAACTTCACTGCTTATCATTTTTACCCTTTAGCAGAAAAAGAGTAGTGTTCTGTATAACTTGTGATGCAAATGCTCAATTTCTGTGCATGCTGAAATTGACACCGGCTATAATCTCCTGGCATATACTAGTGTTACATTCACTTCATTTGTGCAGGAGAGAGCAGGGAGATACTGCGGGGCACTCCGAGTCCTCAACTCCTACTGGGTCGGACAGGACTCTGTGTTCAAGTTCTACGAAGTCATACTGGTGGACCCGCAGCACAAGGCCATCCGTCGAGACCCCCGCATCAACTGGCTGTGCAACGCCGTCCACAAGCACAGGGAGCTGCGTGGGCTCACTTCGGCCGGCCGGAAGAACCGGGGGCTTGGCAGGGGTCACCGGCACAGCAAGGTCATCGGCGGGTCACGGCATGCCAGCTGGTTGAGACGAAACACTCTCTCCCTCCGCCGCTACCGCTAGTGGTTGGTCTTTGTATAGTCTCACCCTTCGAACTGGTTGATATTATTAATTGTGGATGTATAATAAAATTTCTCTGGAATATTATTATTCATGAGAGGGGCGCCCCCCGCCTCATTTGCGTGGGTGAAATGAAAATGGAGGCGTAGCTAGTTCAGCCTGAGCTAGGTTGCTGGTACAGGTGATGTACAAAGCGAGCGGATCACTGATTCGTTCCGCTGCTTGCGTCAGCGAATTTCACCGACGAGCGGAAGATCCTCGAGACTCCTACTGAGCCGGAAGCGACGAACCTACCTCATCAACATTCCTTCATCATAACTCTTGGCTGCGTGTCACCTGTATCCACTGTTGCGCACTGCCAGCGGACGAGAACAATGTCCTCGGGCAGCGGAGAAGAGATGGGTAAGGACCAGACAACGGCAGAGGCGGCCACCGGAGCAGCATCAGCCTCTCCCGAGGCCGGTCCGCAGCCTCCCTACGACGAAGACTTCAACCCTTTCTCAGAGAAAGGTCAGACTTACGATCTAGCTGACTATGCAGGGCTTGAGCTCGTACAGGAAATGCGGTGGTTAGCACACGGTTTTCCTCCGACTCAGCCTTGCTAAAGCTAAATGCGTGCTGAATGTTGCTGCACGGCGGAATGCTGGAGTGGTGTTGTAACCTGTCGAGTCAAGCTAGTAGAATAGTGCTGGCTTAGTTAGTAGACCATTGTAGCTCGATCATGTTGAGCCTATTGTTCTATGTCTGGGAGATGTGTTATGCACATCAATATCTTCATTCATGAGCTACACCTTAGGGTGTGGGAGTAATGTTGGGTTCTGCATGGTAGATTAGACAAAACCGACTATACAAGAGCTTTCACGCACCAACAAACACACACACACACACACACACACACACGTCAGACAAGGAGAAGATTCTGCACGAGGAGGGGTGCAAGGAGGAAGCCGAGGGCTGGAAGTTTGTCAACAGTTCCCAGTACACTGAGGTGTGGAGAAAGGCAGACACCTCCAAACCAGTCCACCTCGTCAAGGTGAGACTAGTTGCAGGGTGGTTGGGATCTATATATATATCACACAGAGTACAGAGAGCAATGCACACACTTCACTACGACTGCACAACGTCACTTGACGCATGCACTGGTCCTGTGGTGGAGCTAAAACCTCCATTGTCTGTCTAGCCCCTAGCAAACCAATGTAGTTTGAAGGCCTGGAGAACCATGTAGTGTGAAGGGTGAGGTGTAACTTATTGCCACAAGTATGGTCAACAGGTTACATACCACAACCATTTCATAACTAGATGCCGCAAGCCTTTTTGGGAAACCATAGAAAAACCCCTATACAACAAAACACTTGTGTGCATTCATAGTGAAGCCATGGCAATTTACTCTGAGTTGGATCTGTGCAAAAATCAGGGGATGATTAAAGGGTTTGTAATAATTATCCATCTTTTTTGTTTATTTTTTCAGGGGTATCTACAGTTCCCTGGTATTCCACCCAATGTAGGTAAGACACGAGATGTTAATGTTTTCTCCATCCCCTTAAAGGCTCTGATATAATACACAATGCAACCCTGTTGTGTGAGACGAAGTTGTATGCAACCTCAAATGTATGGGTTATGATGGTCTCATGCAACATGTTAGAAATGCTTTTGACTTTGTGGCATAGTCCATCATACCCATACATTTGAAGTTGCATGCAACTTTGTCTCATGCAGCAAAGTTGCATTGTGTATCATAGCCTTTACTAAATTTCGATAAACTTTTACTAAAACAGAACTTTTCTTTAACAGTGCCCCTATTGTTTAGTTTAGCCATTACATACTACCCCATTCCTTTTAATTCTCCCTCCCTCCCTCCTCCTCCCTCCTCCCTCCTCCTCCTCCTCTTCCTCCTCCTCCCCCTCATCCTCCTCCTCCTCACAGTGGCAGATTTGATCCACAATAGTGAGCGTCGGAAGGAGTGGGACACATTCTTTGATGTCATAGAGGTTGTCGAGGAACACAAAAACTTCAGAGTCATGTACTGGTAAGAGGCAAATCTCCCTTTTCTCTCCCTCGGTAAACGATGTAGACATATAGCACGGTGGTTTGAAGTTTGCCTTTGTCTTGTAGATTTGAACCCCTACCAGCTGAGTTGCCCTGGTAGCTCAGTTGGTAGAGCGCTCGCCTAGACTGCAGAGTGTCGTGGGTTCGAATCCCACCCAGGGCAGGTCTTCTTCTTTCTTAGCTGTCCTGGGTGTAGTTGACTTGTTTGCCTTGCCTTGCCTTTCTACCTCGTTACAAAGTTGTTGAGTCATGTGTACCTTGAGTTCTGGGCTTTTCCGACTCAGTTTTTTCACGGCACTTTGGGTCAAATACATCTCAGAGAGATCCAACTTCTCAAGATTACTGCAGTACATTCCTATAATGTACACATACATACATCCAGTATCTCAAACAAGAGTGTCGTGGGTTCGGATCCCACCCAGGGGCAGCTCAGCTGTGTTGACTTGTTTGCTTTGCCTTTGCCTCACTACCTCATTTTTGACTCAAGGAAAACATAAGTTTTTTTCCTCCTACAGTAGCACTATGTGTACGTACCGTTTGACTAAGGTTTTCCCACAGCATGTCTGTCTGTGTAGTGATTACGGTTTGAGAGCGTTTTCATTCATGTCAATGTCGAATCCTAGAACGGAGCGGAGCGTTGCTATGTGTAGTTGAGGATAGACTCAGTTGTTGTGCTCTCTTTATGACTAATGTAGTTTATATCCACAACCAGGAGTATGATTTTAGTTCTGACAATGTAAAATTTTCTCTGTACCCCATTTCCAGTTTTTCTTTTGTTTCTATGTATCTCTCTCTATAATCTTCCAGTGTATTCAAGCCATAATACAAACACATAATACGAGTCCAAGAGTAGGTGTATGTGGAATCGTCCCAGTTGTCAAGCTTCATTCTTGCCATTCCACAGGTTGTCGAAGCTCCCACTGACCATCTCAGACAGAGACGTGGTCCAATTCATCCGCAGGGAGTACGACGAGTCGACAAACACCACCTACTTTCTCTACCGCAACGCCACTCACCCCAACTACCCCGAGAGAAGAGGAATTGTCAGGTATCACTACTGTGTGTATGTGTGTATGTGTATAACGATATGTGTGCACGTGCGTCATCACCGAGGTCAAGGACAAATATAGTTTTTCAAAAGAACAGCCCTATAAACCCAGGACACTCTGCACTCCAGGCAAACGCTCTACCAGCTGAGCTGGACAACTCAGGGGTTCAGGCAAACCTCAAAACACTGCACAGTACACTGTCAGTATTTGTGCATAGTGGACAGGGATGGATGGGCCGGCCGGATACGACTCTGAGTGAATGCGTAATTTCAGCTGTTTTGTATGGTGTGGTGACAGCGCAATTTGGACACATTGGCTCACTTTATTTGCCAGTGATTAGACTATGACAGGCATAGGCTTTGGACAGGCAGGATGGGCACAATATTATGTGGTGCTATATACCAGTCTTGCATGTGACTACGGTTTGCTTCCTTTCGATTCTGACTGAGTCTGACTAGCTCAACGTACATTTTATACTTAGATTACATAATGAGCTTTACAGTAATGTGTCAGTGACTATACTATTTTACTAATGTATGTGTGTAGTAAATTATGCCATAATGAAACATCTCAGTGCCTAGATACAAAACAATTTGTATGACAAAAGATCAAAGGAATTCCATCTAGTGTAGTAGCATCCCTGCCAAGTCTAGAACATAAAGAGGCCATACAATTTCCACGTATTTTAGCTGTATGTTGAGCTTATTTGCATAACCACAGTGGATCTATAACTTTTAGACGATAGAAAGCCACAAAACAGGTATTCAATGACTGTCAGCTTTCTCGCTACTGTAACACGCTGCATTCGAGGTTGCTGGGCATGGCGGGAGAGAAAACGAGCCAGAGGGACAGCTATAAAACTTACGCGTGGGGTCCAGCAGCGAAAAAAGTAGCTTTGACGTACCCGTTGCTTACGTTGCTTATGAGTCAAAACCGCGCAGCTAGACTAAACTAAAGCACTTATCGCACGCAGCCTTCTCTCTTTGCTAGCTAGCTCTCTCCGCATTTTTACAAGGTGGTGTGCGTTAAAAAGAAGGCGTTTTGAAAGCTTTTGTGGAATTTCATTGGTCAGAGCCTTATCGCTGGATGGATGTCATCATACACACAACACGTTGTAGGATGGGTTTTGCTACTGGGTACACACTCGTGACTCATGGCTTCGGTTTTGATAGACCACTCAGGCTGCGCCCTTGTGCCCTATCCAAACAGGCCACTGGTGTATATATAACCAGTAGATGCGCCCCCATTGTACAATGCGTGGGAAGGTAATAAAGTCTATCAGTGTTTAATGCTCAAAGGACAGGATGTGGTTGAGAAGCTCTACTGCAATGTTTACTGACAGTTACATTTGGATGCACTACTGGGACACTTTCCAGATGTATGCAACAAGACATGCCTTTCAGGGCCTCGTTGCAGCAGGATGACATTCCTTTCTCTCTCTCCCTGTACTTTTTAATAGGGCAGAGACGATTCTGTCGGGAGTGATTGTACGTCCGGACCCAGAGGACCCTGGGTCCACCAAACTCTCCCTCATGCTGCAGACCGACATGAAGGGCTGGATCCCTCACATGATTGTCAACACAATTGCAGGTGACCGTCGTCATCAGGAGATACTGTGGAACTTCTGAAAATGGACCCTCTGAATAAAGGACACCTATGTATATATAAGGGCTGCCCCATACTGCAGTGGAACCTCCGAACAAGGGACACACTATGGAGCCACGAATGATTTAGTCCCTTGTAGAGAGGATGTCCCTATCTCGGAGGTCAAATCATACACTAAAGTATATTAGCATGGGGTTGAAACAAGTGTCCCTTGTAGAGAGGTCGTCCCTATCTCGAAGGGTCCCTTATTGGAGGTTCCACTGTAACACCTTAGTGTATACCGGTTAAAGTATGCCTCTGGATAATTGTCCCCAAGGTGGCTCTCCACATGGAGAACCGCTGTCCCTAATTCAGAGAGGTTTGACTGTTGTTGTTATTGTCTATGCTGCAGCACGTTCTCCGAAGCAGTGGAGAGACTCCCTCGCCAACTTTTACACCAACGTCTATTCCAAGGAGCTGGAGAAACAACGAAGTAGTGGTGATGGAGCTCAGGGGAAGGAGGAAGATGGCCAGGGACAAGCAGAGGCGGGAGCGGAGAAACAAGAGTAGCTTTCTCAAAGCAGACCTTGTGTTATCATTAATCATAGTATATAGCCCACAGAGAGGGATCAATCATGCTATTATGGGTGTATGTTGTGCTTGTGGTGGTGTGAGATCTCCTCAGCATCTGATCATGCGCAGTGTTTCGCGGGTGTTCTTCGCGCGCGCGCGCGAGAGCTACAGAGAGAGATTGACTGTAAATGGGAGAATGGAGATGCCGCCTCAGTCCCGTCTCTGCAAGTCTCTGTCGGTTGTCGTAGTCTGTGTCGGGCTACTCGTGGTGAGCCTGTTGTACCTGTCTTCGTGGTTCTCCGCCACACCCGACTCGCAGAAGGGCACCCCTGTCCGAGCTCAACCAGTGGACCGCGTACCTTCGGCCGTGGCGGCGGAAGTGAAGCTAGGTGTATTGCCGACGCTGGGCCGGCCTAGCGGCCTGGAGAAGGAATCCGATGAAGCCTACGTGGCCTTGCAGTACGGCGGATTCTTCCTCGCTCTCCGCGTCCTCGGACAATCGTTGAAAGAATCCGGCACTGTCAGAGACATGGTTGCCCTGTGCATGCCCGACGTACCGGAGTACCAGCGTGATATCCTTAGGAAGGACGGGTGGATTGTCAGATCGCTGAACGCGCTGCCCAAGAGCTGTGTCGGAGACCACATATACAGTAGACATTTCACTAAAGTCCAGGCGTGGCTTTTGACAGAGTACAGAAGAGTAGTCCTCATAGACTCTGATGCTATTGTACTGCGGAACATTGACGAACTTTTTAGCTGTGGAGAATTCTGCGCCGCCTACCGTCACTCCGACCTCTTCAACACGGGAGTGGTGGTGCTAAAACCCTCCGAGCAAACCTTCCGGAACATCTGCAGCAAGATTCAGTCCATTCGCTCCTTCACCAACGGAGACCAGGGCTTTCTCAACTACTTTTACGAAGATCTGAAAAAGGCGTCCATGTTTTCTCACTCAGACAGTCTCGTTGTGAATGGGAACCAGCAGTTTCAGCGTCTCCCTTCTGAATACAACGGAGATGTTTCGGTCTTTTATCTGACAAACAAATGGATGTACTTGGACGCGGAGGAGCCCTATGTCCTCCACTACACACTGGGGCCAGTGAAGCCGTGGAAGTGGTGGAGCTACCCACTCTTCACCCTCAACTGGAGGTGGAAGAGCCTGCGAGACAGACTCGACCCAAAGTTAAACGAGCCTTCGCTGTGGGACTGCAAGAGTTGGCTCCCACTGGCCCTGCTCCTGGCAATCTGGCTCAGCTCTAAGATATGGCTGAAATACTACACAAACTTTGTTGCCAAGAACTCAGTTGTGAGAAGTTTGAGCAGCATTTTTAACCCTGTAGGACACTATACACTGAAAATAGTCCCCACGCTTTTCATGTTGCTGGCACTCTATTGGGCCTTTCCTTATGTGCCAGAAGCTATGAACCCTATTGAAGCCTGGACACGGTACGGGCTATGGACACTGCTGTTCTTCTCCACCCCATTCTCCCTCTACTGCCACCTGGCCTATGTAGTTGGTACCCAGTCAGCTGGTATCGATGGTCCTCCCAAGAACACTCCAGTCGTGAGGTCCTGGAGGATAGCCAGCGAGGCTCTACTGTGGCTAGTCACCAGTGGCACCATGTTCTACCTACAGTTCTGGATACCTGTAGCACAGAGCACCATGAAGAGACGGGTCTTTGCCTTCTTTGGACTGGGATTTCTCAACCTTGTCCTCTGCTACTGGTGTGGGAGGCGAGTGGCTAGACTCTGCCACAACTTTGGCTTGTCGCACTCAGGTAGCCTATGACCAACCGTACAACATGCCTCAAGTCCATTCTGTTTCTGTGTGTTTGGCCATCTATCAGGTTCAGCAATACCAACAGTTGAACAGTAACAGACGCATGAGAAGCAAGGAATTCGAATATCACCGAGGGTTTCCTGGGCGCATGTGCAGAAAGGGCGGCGCTTTTGCGCATGCGCTGGGCTATCCACCGCGCACCGAGCTATTCAAACTCGGTAGTCGCCAGGGGAAGCGTTGTCTCATACGGGCGAAGCAGATTTTACGAAATATTTCTCTACCATTCTCGAAACTTGTAGGAGGCACTACAAACCCACGTAGCTAAGTCCATGCGTTCGTTTAGTATTATATACTGCCCTGAACTAGGAATCAGCCATGACTGGCTTGTGTAAACGTACTTTTTGCCTGTCAGTGCGGTCCTCCCTAGTCTAGAAGCTGCTTCCCAAGTTTCATGTGTAGAAAAAACATATCAGCATTGAGCAAACCTTTACACACACACACACACACACCCACTCCCTCAGTCTCGCTCGTGTATCCTGAGAGACTGCTGCAGGGTACTGGACAAGACAACAACATTATGCATCTCGTTTTACTGGGGTATTGCATAAGTCGATTTTCTCTAAAATGAAGGAGTGTAAATAGCAATGTAATCATAATATATCATGACAGGGATGAAGGGGGATAAGAAATTCGTTTTATATTGATTAAGGGTTTATGCTGTGTTGGCAAAAAGATTATCCACTTGTGTAAAATACTGATGTTGATTCATTCATTACCAGTTGCTAGGTCATTGCTATAATAACGTTTCAATAAATCCACTGCTCTACTCCCTACATGAAGCTGTCAGAGGACTGATGAGATGTCTCACCAATGTACCAAAGTCACAATGGCATGTATATTATATGAGCTACTAGCGTGGGTAAACGCATAAGCCCAGCCCATCAATTAGCAGTGCAGTTCGCAGAGGGTTTGCACTTTAGTGTTTTTTTTGTAGTCTGAAGCTTTATAACATCAAAGGAATGATATTACTAAACAAATTCGGTAGATATAGTGCAGTTGATGCACAGCATTTTTTCCTTCCTGTACTTCTGAATGCAGAGCAATAGCAGAATGCCTGTGTCTGCACTTCAGTGTGTGCAGATATATACCTTCCACTTCAATTCACACCATCCAACCCATGTGAATAATGGCAGGACTAGTCAGATTTCTTTAGCTACCACCAGGCAGAAAGATGACTATAAAATATTGTGTTAAACACCAATGAGAAAGCCAATAGTAATTGCACAGCACCCCACTTGCAGGAAGAGCGACCAAGAGAGCAGCTAGACAAGTATTACCAACAATCTCTATGTTTCTGTCATCAACGAGAGGTTTGCATAGAAAAATATGGCATTCGACAAAATCTCATTGCTATGGTCGAAACACTGGCATCACTCAATCCAAATTACTGCTTATATAGCCTGCTTCTTTTTGGGAGAACCTTCTTTAGTTCAGGAGTTAGGGGTGGAATGATAGATTTTGTCCATCGCGTAGGGGTGGTTGGTGGCGATTAAATGGTGCTGCCTATTGTAATATTATAGAAAAGTGCTATAAGTGTGTGTGTGTGTGTGTGTTGGGGGAATGGAGACACAGGAAAATCCACAGTCCAACTGAATTGCTTTAGGTCTTATACACCAACAGTGGAATTTGGCAATGATAAAAATGCAGGCCCGTAAAGTTGCAGTGCACTGGGTGCGCCCATTTTGGCGTTCCATGGGTGCGCCCAATTTAATATTAATTTTATGCGCACGCATCAGCCGCATAACGGGTGCCTCAATTCGCATTAGGACGACGTCGACGAGTGGGGTTATGGGCGCTTAAGACTGATTGGATCCACACCCAAGCACCAGTCCGTCCAGACCCTTCGTAAGACGTTATGAGCCAGTGTAAACTACTGCCAGTGGTCAGCGTTTTTGCTGCATTGCTCGTGGCCGTATTATACCTTGGCACATGGTTTTTCCACACTCCAGAAGCAGAGAAGGCAACGCCGGTACGAGCCAAGCATCTGGACTTGGCGGCGCTGCAGACGCCGCAGCGCGTCGCACTGCCGACGATGGGCCCGCCTAGCGGCCCGGAGAAGGAGTCCGACGGAGCCTACGTGGCCTTGCATTACGACGGATTTTTCCTCGGCCTCCGCGTCCTCGGACAGTCTCTGAGAGAAGCAGGTACTGAAAGAGATATGGTTGCGCTGTGCATGCCCGACGTGCCGGAGTACCAGCGGAATATCCTCAGGAGAGAGGGCTGGATCGTCAGAACGTTGGAGGCGCTGCCCAAGAGCTGCGTAGGAGACCACGTCTATAGTCTGCATTTCACTAAAGTCCTGGCGTGGCTTTTGACAGAGTACAGAAGAGTAGTCCTCATAGACTCTGATGCTATTGTACTGCGGAATATTGACGCACTGTTTAGCTGCGGAGAGTTCTGCGCCGCCTACCGTCACTCCGACCTCTTCAACACGGGAGTGGTGGTGCTAAAACCCTCCGAGCAAACCTTCCGGAACATCTGCAGACATATTCAGTCCATTGGATCCTTCACTAATGGAGACCAGGGCTTTCTCAACTACTATTACGAAGACATGAAGAAAATGTCAATGTTTTCCCCTTCTGCGGATGAGACTGCCCAACAGTTTCAACGTCTTCCCTCTGAGTACAATGGGGATGTGGCCATATTCTACCTCACAAACCAGTGGATGTACTTGGACTCGGAGGAGCCCTATGTCCTCCACTACACACTGGGGCCAGTGAAGCCGTGGAAGTGGTGGAGCTACCCACTCTTCTCCCTCAACTGGAGGTGGAAGAGCCTGCGAGACAGACTTCCACCAGTTGAACTGCATGAACCCTCTCTCTGGGACTGCACTAGTTGGTTCCCACTGGCCCTGCTCCTTGCACTTGGCTTCAGTTCTAAGTTATGGCTTCGGTTTCTTACCAAGTATGTCATCTCTGTGAGATGGACTATTAACCCTGTGGGTCACTATACATGGATGCTAGTCTGCACTCTTCTTTTCCTGCTGGCCAGTTTATGTGCCTTTTTCTGTGTACCAGAGACTATGAACCCTATTGAAGCCTGGACACGGTACGGACTATGGACGCTGCTGTTCTTGTCCATCCCCTTCTCCCTCTATTGCCACCTGGCCTACATGGTTGGCACCCAGTCAGCTGGTATCGACGGTCCTTCCAAGAACACTCCAGTCGTGAGGTCCTGGAGGATAGCCAGCGAAGTTCTACTGTGGCTAGTCACCAGTGGCATCATCTTCTACCTACAGTTCTGGATACCTGTGGCACAGAGCACCATGATGAAACGTGCTGTGACCTTCTTTGGACTGGAATTTCTCAACTTTGCTCTGTATTACATATGTGGAAGGAGAGTTTTAACACATTGCCTAAGCCTTGGCTCACACTGTGGCTTTTAAACAAGTCATAATCTTGACCTATACCTACTGTATTGTAATAGGAGGCTCAAATTACAATGGTACAGTAATTCACACACACACCACACACACGCACACACATATATTATGCAACACAGTCATCACACGGTTGCACGAAACAACAATCACATGAAAGAAGCAGAGATGATTCATAAATATTGATTGAGAGAAAGATTGGGTGCGTCCGTTAGTACGATAATTGCTAGGGAGTTCCCACACTGAGGATCCCGGGACTGGCCTCCATGATACGGAGGAGAAGGTTATCGAGGTATCCACGAACTGCTTTCAGTTCCTCTTCCGTGCTGCGGAGTCTGTTCTTTGTCTGGAGCAGCTCTCTCACCAGCTCCTACATATATAATAGATATAATATAACCGATGTACAGGTGTGTGTGTGTGTGTGTGTGGTGAGCAAATATACAGTGTATACAGTTGAACCTCCGAACAAGGGACACTATGGGGCCAACGATTTGTCCCTTGTAGAGAGGTCGTCCCTATATCAGAGGGTCCCTATATCAGAGGGTCCCTTATTGAAGGCTCAACTGTATACACGTGGCGCGTTGGCAACCAGTATAATTGTGGCTTATTGCTTTGGAATGTTCGAATCACCCAAAGTGTGACTTGCCACAAAGCAAGCTTGTTGGCATGGCTGCCCACGTGCATCATTCATGTGACACTTCAGTACAACAGTGATACGAGGATGAAAGCCACGTGGACCTTTAAGACATTAGGGACACAGTTATCTTTTTAGTGTCCTCAATGCAGGTAATTATAGACAAGTATAGAGGGGCGGTAGGTACTACTTGAAGAGTAGATGTTCAGTTTAGGGTGTGTGTGCATGCAACTACTCAGTTAGAGCACTTGAAAGGAGAGAGGGTGTTTGGGTTGAGATGTGAAATACAAGCAGTTCTAAAAATGAATTTGTTTGCAGTGGGAGTTCAGTTCAGACCACAGATACTATAACATAACTCTTTCAAAGGTATAATATTGGGTGGAGAGTGTTCTAAACATTCACTAGTATTATATATACAGTTGGTCTCAGTTGAGTTATAATTATACTACGTCTGGTGTTCATGCCTTTTACCCATGGCCTAAACTGTAGCTATCTAAATGCATGCAGAAAACTAGCGGAAGATATATAGCGGTAAAATCAGTTAACAGCCTCGAAGATGACTATAGTAACATGAACATTGGTAGCCTCAGTCCCAGGCCTTCTCCCTCCTCCTGGCAAATTATTATAATAATGCATGATCGACCTTTGAACCATGCGCAAGCTACTCTCCTTCAGTGGAGGTTACAAAGAAGAAGAAGAAGACCTTTTCATCACATGATACGTGGCACAGAACACATCACGCCCATAAACAATACACGCAATTTATATTATGTGTGATGCATAGTGAGGTTTGTGCCACGTATCACGTCAGAAAATCTTCCATGCCCCTCCCTCCTTAACTTTGTGCATGATTCAAAGGTCACACTTATAAAATTTTGCGAGGAGAAGGGAGAAGGCCTGGAATCCAGGCTTAACATGGGTGCAAAACACTGTGCTGTAATGAACATGGTGAACAAATGACCTGTCGTGTGCCTTACAAAGGAGAGTCACGAAATGTGTGGTGTGTGCATTCTACAGTCGAACCTCGTTAACATGAACTCCAGGGGACCACATCAAAAAAGTTTCATATTAAAAGGAATTTCACTATAACAGTAGCTAGTTGTATTAGTGTTATAATGCCCGGGGATTTCTAAGTGGTTCGTATAATATATTAAGCAGGTATTTCGCTTTAACAGTGTTCGTATTAACGAGGTTCCACTGTATTGCAGTTTGGCTGGGCATGATGTTATATTAATTATCACGCAATTGCCCCATTCTGACGGTACTACATTACATCCTACACTACATACTGGGGTGACCCCAACATCACTTGCCCCCAACCGACCTCTTTGGACCACTGGGCCCAGTCAGACGGCCCCGCCTCCTCCATCTCCTCGCTAGCCAGGGAACCCAGCCCCTCGCTGTCCACTGAGCTACACGTCTGCTTGTGCCGGCTCCCCACTGGCAGACTCAGAAACAGGTTCTGGTGTCCGGTTCGACCACTAGCACCAGCACCGCCACCGTCAGGGACGTCCGTCCCACTTCCACTCCCGTCCACCAGGGTCCGCTCTGAACCAAACGTACGGACAGAGTCGGTGTCCGAGGGGAGGGAGGTGGGCGTGGCAGATATATGCGACCCGCACTGCTCATTGTTGGAGTTGGTATTCCTGGACGCCGTGGTACTTCCTCCCTCTAGTTGCAAGTGATGCAGAATACCCTGCTGTCGCCTCGGAGCTGAAGCGTCATGCCCTGGACTGCTGGACGTTGAAGAGACACCGAGGGACTCGACAGAGCTATGGGCAGGCCCCTGTAATCTGGATGAGTTGACGATCTCAAGCTGCTGCCGGGGATCTCGTTTGGTGGGCGGAGTCTTGTGTGACTGGGTCCGACGCAGATTGATGAACGGGTTTCTCCAGCTGCCAGTCTCGGACCCCCTGGGGGCGTGGCCGACGTGAGTAGAGGCCTTCCTCTGTGTCAGGACAGGACTGCTCCCTGGGCAGGGAGAGAGGGGGGGAGGAGGGGAGAGAGAGGGAGAGTGATTGGAGGTGAGAGAGGGGGAGGATTGGAGGTGAGAGAGGGAGAGGGAGGGAGAGAAAGGGAGAGAGAGGGAGAGAGGGAGAGAGAGGGAGAGAGAGGGAGAGGATTACAGATCCTGCCTTATTATAGACAAACACAGTTATCTAGTCCTTGCATGAGATACGTATATCCATGAGACAATTTGTATCCATGTTGAACAATTCAAAGGTGCTCTATCGACTGTCACATTCGCACACAAAAGATAAACTTGAGATGGCTCAGCAATACGTCCGTACATACCTGCACTGGAAGAAGAAGGCCCCCCAAACTCGGCAGATGTGAATCTGACGTTGCCAAAGTCCCCGCTGGTCCTCCGCGACGGAGAACCTTTACTGCTCCTCCGTCTGTTCTCCTGGTAGCGAGTCACCACTGCCTGCAGGCCCCCTCCCCTCCTCACCCCTCCCCCTCCCGCTCCTCCCGCTACGCCATCCCCCCTCTCCTGCCCCGACGAGGAGATGGGTGACCCCGGGTAAGTCTGCGACAGTTTGTGAGACGAAGAAGAAGAAGCGGCTGCCGAGGTCTTTGTGGGTGAGTGTGGATTTTCGGGAGTCACAGATCGTGTGTGTGTTGAGGATGGAGCGGGGGGTTGGGGGCTGTTGTGTATTGCCACTGGTGGTAGTGGTCGAATCAGATCCATCGAAACTGGGGTTAGTGACCGACACTACATGTTGAGACTGACGTCGCTGCTGTTGTTGTTGTTGTTGTTGGAGTTCAAAAATCCGCAGGTCAAACGTCCGTATGTTGTAGAGACCCTGGACTTGCTTCGGAACGAAGGGGAGCCCCTGTGATGACGACGATTTTGTCCCGGGCTGCAGGGAAATCTGTCTCCTGGGAGGAGTCGAGTTAGCTCCGAGCGGCTCAGACTGCCTCCTGGTGAGCTGGGTGTGTTGTAGGGACTGAGTTAGGCAGGGAGGCAGGGCAGGGAGTGGCTCGTAATCTGTGGTAATGAGACACAAAGTTTACACTACAGATCCCTACAGGCAGCCAAAACATACACCCTCTACTCTACTATCTGCCTCTGGCTCATTGTTAGCCTGGCTAGACAGCATTATCACTCAGTACATTGCAACAGCAACCACAACTGATTTTTGTAGTCCAACTTCAAACATCCCGGTGCTAGGATATCGCGTAGTCTTCGAGCTGTGGGCTGCGGGCTGACCAATATCAGTATTGGACAGGAAGTCCTTATCACAACATCTAGCACTAGGCAAAGTGCAAATTGTCTGGCTTCAAAAGTTTACACAACAATCATTAGAACATTTATTATCAGGATGACACATCAGAAATTCAGCATTGTGATTGGCTAGTTGGACTACATATTAGTTAACATAGAGGCGGCGAGGGGCGAGGAGGATTTCCTGTATGTGCCGAGACGCCTGATGTTAACTGATTTGTAGTCCAACTAGCCAATAACAATGCTGAATTTCTGCTGCGTCATCCTGCACTAAGTTGGACTACAACACATGCATATACCTACCTAACTGAGACCATGAAAAGTATTGTCCTTTATACTGTAGGTAGGTGCCCCTTATTTGGAGGTTAATTAAAGTGTGGATCGAAACATTGACCAGCGAAGCGAGCCTACCTAGTCATCTGCATACAGAATATTTCTCTATACAGGGACTGCCACATACCGTAATGATTCTAAATATGCGTGAAACGCAAGAGTCAGTAGTGGTGTTTACCTTGATTGGGAAGTTTCTCACTGACAGTGTGTCTGCTTCCAGTGGTGCTCTCTCGAGGCAGGGTCGCTGCTCCATCAACCATATCTCCCCTCTCTCCCCCCTCTTCCACTGACAGAGCCATGGCTGAAGACGATCGCCCACTCAGACCCTCCTCCCCTCCTCCTCCTCCTCCTCCTCCTCCTCCGCCGCCCCCGTTCGTTACAGCAATGGGACTGGTGGAGTGGGCACGTGTTTGCAAAGTCGCTGGAGAAAGACTGTTTGGTAGCTTCTGAGGACTGTGAGGTAACGAGTTTTTGGCCACTGTTCGACTCTGGGGTGGACCCTGGCGTGATTGGTAATTTCCTCTTCCCGACGGGGCTATCCATGGGAGACCCCGGTACACTGCTGGGACTCTGTTTGACGGGCGACTGAGGGAGCGCCACGATAGTACTCTTGCAGCGTGGCGTCGTTGCCTCTAGCACCACCTCCAGTTCGCTGGCGTCAACCTGGAACGCCGAACTCTCAGTCTCGATCGGAACTCGGCTCTTGACCGTGCTCTCCACATGCTGTCTTCTCTGCTGCTGTCTCGTGGGTGACTTTAGCCCTCCCTCCTCCTCCTCCTCCTCCTCTTCCTCTATCAGGGTGGACTGAAGGTGGATGGGGCTGGGGTTTCTGGGATGGATGATTGCAGGGTTACCCCTGCCGCCGCTGGTTCGAGGGGCAAGAGGGGACGACTTCGGAGAGAGGTCCTCGCTCACCAGGTGGGTGGGGCTGCCACGCCCTCCCAGTCTCCCGTGGGAAGAATCCCCCAGCGAGGTCGCTAGGGGTACACGTGGTCCGAGTCCCATCGATTTCATCTTTACCCGCTGGGAAGGTGCGGAGGAGGAGCTACCATTGTTTGAATCTCCGCTCCCTCCCTTTGTCAATCTCGATCCCCTGCGAGGAGTGGGCGGAGTCCCAGAGGCCCCGCCCACAGACTGCGATCTTTGTCGGATGCTGGCAGGGAGGGTTGAAGAGTGTGTGACATTCCCCAGCCCACTGCTGCGGTCGGATACCTCGTCCCCGAGACCCTTCCCACCCCTGGCTGGGACCGGAGACCTGGTGGGTGAGGTCAAGTTCAACGACTCCAGGTTGCTGTCAGTGACCGTTGAGTTTGACCTCACGGGCCTGCGTCCTCCATTGGCCACGCCCCTCACTAACGCGCTCTTGGCTCTGAAGGTCACGACCTCCCCCGACTGGCTCTCCTCCGATCCTCCTCCTGTAATAATGACAATGGATGAAACATCTCAAACATGATTCATGCTCTGATAGCTATAGTCCCTCAAAGTCATCATCACATTCATGACCATTCACTATACATGAACCCATTTCCTTTCTTATTTCCTACTTCTCTACCTTGTGGTACATAGTTGACGTCAAAACAGGACCATCGACTTCCAAATTAATACACTGCGGTTCTCAGAGCATATTACCACTCTAAAATTTCACTGGATGGGGTATCATGACTTAGTGTTGTAAACTTAAGAGGAGAAAGCTTTATAGCCATCCGCAAAACATTTCTCCGCAAATATTAATTGTAACAGGGACATCGAAATTCACTCGTAAATTATCTCACTAGCTACAGTGTACGGTGGGATACAGTCATACACTGGCTGTACTGTACTGTATTGTACTGTACTGTACTGTACTGTACCAGGGAGTGGTGGTTGTGAGAGAGGTGTGGACGGTAAAGTCTCCTCTGACGAGTCAGACTGGGGAGTAGTCGGGGGGATGCTGTGCATACTCCACGGCCTCTTCTTCCTCCTGAAGTTGTGGTAGCGCAGTGCCGGGCTCTGCAACAGGACAAATAAAGGCGGAAGAAGAGAGATGGAAAAATGAGAATTTGCCAGAGGTAAAATTAATATTAATAACGGGGGGGAAGAGGAAAAAAACGGTACAGAGTGTGAGGGTGGAAGGAAGTTACGTAACTTGGGACAATTCGGGGTCCATTATTGCAGAGTAAACTCATTGAGCACACTATAGTCCTTGCTATATACAAATTTAGACCCATAGACCACAGTGTGGGCCGCACAGTATATAGGCCGAGAGTCAACATGCATATTTGATCCCCAGTTTGTCCTTTGTTCCCCAAACACCTCACAGCCTACCATTAGCATGCACAATGCGCATACACACAATGAGCAAAACAATGGGTTAAGCTCCCCAGTATCCACCAGTTGTCTAAAACGACCTACCATTTTCTCCCCCGGTGGATGGTTCTCCCTATCCTCCTCCTCCCTCCCCCTCTCTCCCCCTCCACCCACCACCCCCACTCCGTGTCCGTTTGGCAGGCGTTTGCTTCGATCCAGCGAGCGAGAGAGGTACTCGGTAGTTTTCCCTCCAAACACGTCACCTTCGCCCTCCTGTAGGAGGGACTTGAGATGGAAGGGAGGAGAGAGGTCTGCCAACGGAGACTCTGTCTTAACGGGCAGACTCAGTGACATAAACTCGTCGCTGCACTCTTCCAGAACCGGCGATCGCGTCTTCTTTTTGATCGACAACCGAAATATCGACTTGTCTTTCTTGCCCGCCCTCTCCCTTTTACTCTCCCTTTTACCCTCCGCCTCTCTTCCTCCGGTGGTCGACTCCGCCCCAGCGTCACTGCTGCTGCGTGGCTTCGCCTCCGATTTCGTCCTCTTCAGCATGCTCTTGCGACGGATACCAAATGGTGACGACGAGAATTTGACGGATTTTGCACCCCTCAACTTTGGTTTCTTCTTGTTCTCTGTCTCACAGCTTTCCGGCGGTGGGCCAAACGAGAAATCGACCACTTCGGTCTCCTCTGCCACCCAGTTGGAGAGAAACTTGATCGACAGGAGTAGTTCGCCGCGGAGTTTAGAACTGGTTTTACCGGCTTTTGCACCGAGTTTGTACCAGTGGGTGACAGGTTTAGAGGAGATTGTGAAGGTGCCGAGGGGAATGGAGACCAGACCGAGGAACTTGTCCTTGAGAGAGGTTTTCTGTCTTACACAGAAGAGGAGGGTTGTGCCCAGGCTCATAAGAGGACTGGGGGGAGAGGAGAGGAGAGAGAGAGAGAGAGAGGAGGGGAAGGGGGGAGGGTAGAAATAGGAGGGAGGGAGATGAGAGGGGAGAGAGGGGAGAGGAGGGGGGAGGAAAGAGAGGAGAAAGGAGGGGAGAAAGGAGAGAGGAAGAAGGAAGGTACAGTGGAAGTGAGTGCAAGGTAAGGTCAGCCAGTGCAAACATGTTGAAAGACACACAGACATATTCACATGGCTCCCATTGTCCTGTAATGACCACTGCCTACACAGAGACACAGAGACACGGCCAAGATTTGGACAGCTCCCTGAATGCCATTCCCTCATAAGTATAGAGACAGGGAGGGCCACAATTGCATGCAGAATGCATAGAGAAATACGATCTATTGTCCCTTAGACGGACACCGACACTACGAGCTGACACACATATCCACACAATCCCTTCAATATAAGGTGTCATGATGGACCCTGTTGCTATAATGCTTCACTTTTTTGTCCTGTATGATTTGAATGGGCCCAACCAATTTCTCTAGAGTAGACTCAGGTTCCCTGAACTACACGGAGCAAGGGGAAGCCTAGCTGGAATACTTTCACACACAATCACGCACTAATATTATGTAGGTTTATATAAGGAGTGGGGGGCATTATGGTAAGTGGGATTCAGGTCCAGTTAGGAGTTCAATGATTTCGAAATAATATGGCCACAAAATGCATCAGAACAGTATTTGAAGGCATAAATGTTCATGGAAACCTGCTCCACACGTATTATCCCCCCCTCCCTCCCTCCCTCCTGACACGCATATTACCCATACAATCGCTTCAATTCAACTCACATCCTAGAGGTGAACTGCCATAGTGGGGCAGTGGACGGAGGCAGGTGTTGACTCTGGCACTTCTCCCTGTCAGCAGTCACACTCACATACACCAAACTACTGCCTGGAGAGAGAGAGAGAGAGATAGAGAGAGAGAGAGAGAGAGAGAGAGAGATGTCACCGTCAGATAGTTGCTTCACTAACTGATCGACTTGGTTACTTTCTTCAAGGACAAAAGTGGCAGTAAAAAGCAAGGTATACATCAACCATGTTTCGTGAGGTATATATTAGCAGGATTTGTCATGAAGAGAAAAAGTAGCATAGAGCTGGAAACATATTCTGGCCATGTCATAGTTTTTTGTTTGTACAAAATCTGTGACCCTACAAAATATTTCTCACCAGTCGTATACTGGTATGTATGTTCTACTACTGAGCTGTAGAATGATTGCTGGCACACCACTCTATGGGCTCTGGACAAACACTCCAGGAATGTGGCTGAATGCCAAGGATGTTAACATTCCGGAGGGGGTCTGATTTTCATACCCCAAGAAGAAGGGGACCCAGAGAAAATGTGGCCCCTCAACCAAACAGCTGACCTGTCATGAATCCTGTTACCACAGCATTCCTCTGCCGTGGGCAATAGGCCACAAGAATTCAAAACACCAAAGGGCAAAGCACAATGGGCAATGTACACCCTCTTGTGACTTCACAATAATAATATGCATGTACTTTCGTAATGTCAGACTTTACTACGTAGGAGATGGCATACAGCAGTTTGTACTGTTTCACTCCCACACTGAAGTGATGTGTAGTCACCCAGTGTAGTCACCCAGTGAAGTCACCCACTCAACTACTAATATGCGCCCATAAGAGTACCGTAGCCCATGCTCTAGAGTTTTGCTAGAAAATGCTCGCTCAACCGTCAGTGCTTCACTTTACTCTCGAAGCCAAACACGATGTACAGATTCTCTCCGTCACACACATGCACAGAAGCCCTTGCATTTGACAGATGGGTCTCCAGCTAAGACAGGCTAATAGCAAACGCTTCAAGGTGGACACGACAATATCCAAGGTTAAATAAGGCACTCAGGAGAATGCCTGCTTCAAACACTTTATATGCTGCAATTTAAGTCCCTTTTTCTTACATTATCCTCTCTGCCGTGCTGGATCCCAAAAGCCCTGTTCGAGTCACACATGCAACATTTCAACAGGCAGGCACCGTGTGCAGTACTTACGCAAGTGAAACAATGCGTAACAGTTCAGTAGTGTAGGTGCTAATACCCTTCCCTGCTGGGGAATGCCACATGTTTCCTTCTGGGCGTTTTTCCTTTGAAAATGGAAGTGAAAACACAAATATTCTCATAGTTGACGCAATGCTGTTGGTATATACTTAAGATATATGAGACTACGTCATCCCTATATATTGTGGCACAGCTTGCGTGCAGAAAAGCGATGGGATGCAGTGTGCAATAATAATTGTTTATAGGCTCCCCTGTTTTTTTATCTCAACATCTTCGTACACTCAACAAAGGAATAATACTTGCTGTGCTGATGAAAGCAATCTATAATCTCATATTCAACTCTTGTTTCACAAATACCCAGCCAAACTATGTACGTTGCTGGTATATAGTCTACATCAGCAGTGACTCTAACACATCGTCGGCACAACAGACCTTCAGTCCATGCAACAGGTGCCTCTAGAACACGCCACTCAGACACTATGCATGTGACTATGATATGGTCTGTTACTATAGGAGTGATTGGCCAGACTTTGAAGTTAACCCTTTGTGTACAGTGTATCACACTCCCATGCATGTATGTAATGTACGTATACAAACACTCCTTCCCCTCTCCCGTTCTCACGGTCACACAACTGTGGGGACAACATGTGGCCACAATAGGGAAGGGAAAGGAGACTCGGTAATGCTTCACTTACTTACTACAGAGGCCACGGACCATGTGTGCATGTGGTTACTTGTGTCAGTCCAACATGCATTATCAATGTACATTCTGCGTGTATCACTTTATGTGTACAAATGTTAGAGTTATCAATTCTTGACACAAGCTGCAGTTACTTGACACAAGTGACAATAATTATAAAGCAGCCGCAAGTTATTCTTGTGCTGAGTCAAGAGTGGTAAATCCCTCCAATTACTGGCCGTATAATTTGATTCGAGGTCACTACAGTGCAACTACCACTCAGGAGGATACATTAGTCACCGGGGACAGTCCTCTCCAGTCCTCAGGTGTATAACTATGTACCACACTACATATGTATTTAATGTTCCCTGCTGAGTGCAGGGGCCCCCTCTTAATGAAACCCGAACTGACACACTTTGCGTACACACAAGGGTTAGATCATAATCACCTGAGCCAGGGTCAGGCAGAGAGCGGTACATAGTTACCAGTGAGAAGACCTGCTACTATTTATAATTCTCTTGCCTATATAATCGTACTTAGTGATACACCAACAAAGGCCAAAGGGTAATTATCGCTCTCCCTTCAAACACATGACTAGCCTATGGAAGGGTTCACAGGTGCAGTGTCAAGCTGTTAGACACCGGAGACAGTGCAAATAACACTCATTATACAGTAATGCAATTGTCGTTCTATTTTGCAGTGAAAGTATAACTCCAACGCAAGGACTAAAGAAAGGAAGTCTCTCCCTGCAGTAATGGTAAATATGGAGCCAGGAAATAGCATCTGAAATGCATACTCTCAACAAGGTGTTTGCTATGCTTTGCTTGAGCATGTGATTCCCAAAGCGGGTGACGACAACGTAGTTACATGGAGCCGAACAAACTGCTACCGACAACCTACCCTGACAGATGATATATACGACATGTCCCTGTCCACAATCAACATTATTTTAAGGGTCTAAAGTTTAAAAGATGTTTAATACTATTCCCTATGAAATGCAAGTTGTGAAATGTGACACTGTCTGTTGCAATAACTTTGGGATTAAACTCGTTATCCACCTGAATTGAGCCAATTACTGACACAAATTGCCCACTAATGTGTGTATTGTCTGTTTTGCCACCAGAAATATCTATATTCACACATATAGAAATGTAGTAAGAAGATATTCGCCATATGACAGGATAAGGAATCCAACCAGTAGTAAGACTCAGCCAGGTTTCAGTAAGTACACTGTACGTAATAGAGATGCAGGGCGGTATAGGCACAATGGCAGATTGTGTAGTGCACAGCTGTTGAGACAGAGATGTGCGCAGACATTGGAGACACCACTACCAGCATTTACTGGGCAGAGGACACCTGTACATACTACTCAGTATGTATAATAATTATACAACCAGTCCCAAGAGGATCGTCCAGAACAAACTATCATTTCTTCTCTAGTCAAAGCACCTACGTATAGTGTAGCTACTGTATGAAGTGATGTCTGTGCATTCAGAGCATTTGCTATTGATTCGAAGGAGGTAGCTAGCTGGATGACTGGGGTATTCATTCGCAACTTTACAAGTCCCTATTTGGGCGCACCCAACAGTCTCGCAATAAAAGATCAATAACTCCATCTGACTAGCTACCAAGAGCACACACACATTGACATGCACTTCTACAGATCAGCTAAACCTACTGTCCAATGTTTACGTTGGGAGCTGGTCGATAGAAAAACCACTTCAAGGGCCAGTCTCTTGCACTACATTTTCGGCCAACGGCAGTCAATAGCGAAATATGCCTCCGTTTACACGCCCTTACCGCTAACCTAATAACGACGCTGGCAGGCCAAAAAGACAGGGCCGGCAGCGTATGGAGGGAAAAGGGCACCGGCAGAGTCGCAGGTCAACTGTACGCGGTACGACCGATTCCCGCCGGTAATGAACTAATTCTTGGCTCGCAGTTTCTCCCCGGCTGATTCGCGCCATACATAGGGTCATGGACATAGAAGACTCACTGTTTTTGGTCTTGAGCAGTAGGTCTCTGGCCTGGTGAACTGGGAGGTGGAAAGAGAGAGCAGGAAACCGAACGGAAAGTCACGTAAACGACGGCGACAACACAGAAAAACGTCCGCCGCCAGCGACGCTGACGCACGCGCGGGAGCGAATGCAATTAGCGGGTTCATCTGTGTGAAATTACCCCCGGGGTTGCTCCCCCGTAGCGTACAATAGACACACGCATGCTCCAAGCCAAGATGCCAAGCTAACTGAGTAGCTAACATTCAGCTAGAGGCTAGGTTAGCTATAGCTACATCCATAACATGAGCGCACACAGTGAAACTCACTCGTTATCTCTACGTGTGACGGTACCCAGGACGTCATATCTCCGTCCGAGAGTCGACTATATAGGACCGACGAACTGCAACCGCTCGACTTCCCGCTAACTGAATGATCCCGCGCCTGGCAGCACACGCCGGCACACACTGCACCTCCAGTTCCGAACGATGTGTACTGAGCTTTCCGCCTTTCTATATTCTTCGCTACGTTCTTCGGCAAGCGCACACGCCTATCAAATGCTTGCACAATCACAATGCTGCCCTTTTGGGACCGGCTACCTAAACTATAGCACCTGACTCAGCTCCACTGGCCTCACTGTGTGTAAGCTCTACAGGTAGAGGCAACCGCCACACCGTCTCGCACACGCCCACACTCAATAGCACTGGTCGTAGTTCAGCATTAGGCGGTCCAAGCGGCAGAAGGAGGCCCTACACTTCCGCCCGAGGTTCTAGGTAATTATGCTCTCTGCGCGTTTGTTGTGTGGGATTTCATATCCTGTTGCAGCCGTACTTGGCAAGGCTCCGAGCGACGCGGAATGATCACACAGCATTGTCTGTGTATCACACTACATGCCTACACCTGTGCCCAACAATGTTGCACAACCACAACTGTTTATTGACGCGTCTGAGCATGAATTAATCACAGTTGCACCATAATAGTGCTCCATGTATGAGTAGCTATCTACTGTTTATTACAGCTCCTGCCCCTATCCAAATGTAAGGGAACAAATGAAAGTGGAAACTGGTAAGACCAAGTGTTAAATAATTGGATCTGGATCTGCCATTGGCTGTCTTCTGGACCTCCTTGGGGTCTCTAATCTTCCCTCAAAGTCTCCAGTGAATGCCACATCACTAGCAATTAGATCAGGAGCTACATGTCAGTATTTGGTCAATGAACACATCAATAATAAAGGTCAACCAAAGTTATTAAGGGTATTTAGAATCATTTTCAATTGCTCCTTAGGTGATAATGTTCAAAATTATAATTATCATCACTTATGTGCCTTACACTCAATGGCAGATTCTCAGTAGGTGTTGTGTTAAACACAATAGCACTGCGCTTGTGTGTATTTTTCCACTCTCGTGTGTGAAGAGCAAGAGTTAAGTATGGAAGCCGAGATGGGTAAACAACTTCCAACTTCCATTGTGAACTCTTTCATGTAGCTTCCGTAGTTAAGACACTTTAGCTATCCAACAAGACAGAGGCAGACAGACATAATTATAATATAGCTATCAACATGCTGTTCAAAATAAGCACTAACAACCTAACATTGTACATAGCTATAACTACGCAATATGTATGATCGTTTCTTTTTTCTTAACAGTCATCTCTCAGCAATCACTCAATGATGAAGTGAGTTTTCAGGTTCATTCTGTTCCTGCCACAGCCAGTGGGTACCACCTTCAGGACATGTCTCCCAGAACTCAACCCACTCACCACCACTGGACTGGAGCCTGCAGTCATGACACCACAACTCACCACTAGCTACCTGGAAACAAACTCAGTAGCTACATAGACTGTGGCATACACTGGTAGGGGTCCATCTTGTCCAGGTAACAGAGGTAGCCGTGGGCAGGTCCCCTCCCAGTGAACTCTACTGTGGCACTGTCTCCACTCACACTCACTCCACCATTGATGAGGTGGAGAGTACAACGCTCCGTGTCGTCTGTGATCTCGAAACGAGACCTGATAAACTCCTTGTCAGGTCTGCGGTTGGTGGCCACTACTCTCAGAGTGTAGACAGCAGGACTCAGTCCAGAGAACTCCACATAACCACCGGAGCCTGTAATTCAAATTTACTGGCTTATGTGTGAAAATGTTGAAGAAGCAACTAGGCATTACTATAATATACCCAGTAATGTATTTGGGAGTAGGTAGCTAAAGAGCTCACAGTTTTTCTCAGTTCTGAAGGATCCTCCCTTGAGTCTGCAGACCAGAGACTGGACAGGTCGTGAGAGAAGGATGTGGGCCTCTACAGAGTCTCCCTGGACAAGAGGAGAGTCCTTGATGAATGCCACCTCCAGTGGAGGAACTGCAGCTGAGGCTGGAAAGGAAAACGAGGGCATTAGCATAGCAAGGTCTGAGCTACATGAACAGGATAACCAGTGGGCTTGGAGTCTTCCTCGAGGAAGTAAGGGACGGTTTCCTCTGCCTGGAATCCCTCGTCATCTTCAACAAAGATGGTGAGTGTGTGGCTCCCCAGAGGAGACACATCTCTATTGATGGCCACTGGGTAGGAACCTGCCATGGAGGGTTACATAAGAATGTACCTAGTTACATAAGGAAGTTCGAGCTGCATACACTGGTGTTTGAGTCCGCCATTGAAGGAGCAGAGAGTTGTCCGAGGAGGTCTGTTGGTCTTGCAGTCAATGTCAATGTGGTCACTGGTGGTCCTAGCCTCACACTCCAGCACAAGTGGCTGAGCTGGAGACACAAGAAATACTTATAAACGTATGTACAGGAATGAAGTGAAGACATTAACTCACGCAGACAGTCATTGACTGAGGAGGTTCCAGGTAATGAGGTAGTGTGGTACTTCGGACACTGGCTGCATGTGATGCTCCCGAGAGCATCGGCATAAGTGTCGAGTGGACATCTCTCACACACTGGAACACTCTCACTGAAACTGACTCCATTTACAATCCGTGAACTCTCGGTCTCAGAGGAGAAGTGTCCTCGCTCGCAGCTCACTAAGGATAGAGTTCAGGTCACAGCTTACAACCGAGATTGAGAGGGTCAGGGAGTGGTGGCTTACAGCAGAGGAGGTAGTCGGAGTTGAGTCTCTGTCCTGGTGGACATACGTACCTCAACTTACCCACTACCAGAGAGTCTTCCACAACTGAAGATCCTGTCCCCGGACAGATGAGGCCCACAGTGTCTCCATTTATAAGATCAGTCATCAGTTGTACGCTCTTCCGAAGGCTCCTTGCATGAGGAAGTGCAGAGTTTGCAATCTCGGCAAACGTCGAGAGGTGAAGGTAGGGTGTGGTGATGTTTTGGCTCACAAGACTCAGGGATACGTCATAGTTCTCCGAATCCACTTCTGTCACATTGAAATCATCAATGGTAGACGTTTCTCCATCGATAGTCTCAGATATTAGGGAGTAGAGGGAGTCATACAAGTCTTCTGCTGTGCAGGTTCCATTGGAAATGAATACGGAGAACTCCAGAGGGAACTGATGCTGGGACACAGTGAACGGGAGAAGTGTCAGGGTCACTGGCTCGGAGCGAACACTGCCGTGATAGTTGAATGCCTCGCAAGCATACATACCCTCGTCCTCTACTTGGGGATCCAAAACAAGTAGTTCGTTGGTTAGTTCTCCTTCGATGAGTATCCAGTCTGACTCAGGAGAGCTGCGATGGTACCACCTCCAGCCAGGGTAGGGCCAGGCCGATGCATTGCAGGCAAACCAGGCCCCATTCCCGTCACCAAAGTAGGTGACGACAGACTCTGGGGAGAGATAGAACTGTGGGAGCTCATAGACTGTGACACTGGTGTCGATAGACTCGGCAGTGCCCACTGGGTTGCTGGCCACACAGGTGTAGTTGGCCGAGTCCTGTCGCTGAACGGCAGCAAGGACCAACTTGTTTGTGGTAAACTGTGGCAGTACATTACCATCCCTCATCCAGTAGTACGTCAGAGGTAGGTTTGACTCCGCCTCACATGATAATCGCAGGGTGGCCCCCAGAGAGATGTTCATCTCGGGCAGTGGCTCTGTTATCATAACTGGAGGTTCGTTACACCAGTAATTGTCTGTTGCATAGGCCGTTGTGATCTCAATGATAGGGTCCACCCTAGCCAGACCTTCCTGGATGGAAACGTTGGAGAGAAGAGCCAACTCCAGCAACCTCTTGGCAGCTAGTGGAAAGCTCGGTCTCAGAGAGATGAACTCTAGGCTCAGTTGACTGTCTGGAGTCAAGTCTATGAGGTTCAGCAGTTGGTCAGTGGAGGTCTGGAGGCAGTCGGCCAGTCCATCGCAGCCCACCTCCCCAACTGAGCCCGACTCTGAGTACAGGAACTCCATGCTGGCCTGCCACTCTGAGAAGATGGTGCTCTCCAGTGCCCGCAGAGCCTCCATCGACAGGTCTTCGTAGTCCCTGATGAGGTCCAGGTAGGCCGCAAACTCCTCGTCCTCCTGTGGTCCGTCCTCACTCAGACTCTCCGAGAGCCCACCGGCTCCTTCACGAGAGGTGTTAATGTTCTCCTGGATCTCTGTTAGTCTGGCCTGGATCTCGGCAAAGAAGAGTTGTGTGTTCGAGATGTGAGTGCAGCGAGAGGCAAAAGATCTGTCTCGGAGTGAGATCTTCTGCTGCTGTCTGTCTCCGCAGCCGTGTCTGTGGCCACGTACTTCGCTTGGAGTCACCAATGAATGCTGTGTCTATTATTTCGTCGGCCATTCTTTCAAGGTTGACTGCTTTTGATTGTCTTGAAATGTAAACGTATGATCCTCGATTCTCTTCTCCACTGTTACTTATTAGGTTCTGGAATATCACATTGAAGGCTAATGATATGGGACTGTTGGTAAGTTTTTCGCTAAATGTGGCATTTATGATGCTGAAGACATTTTCATACCCACTTTCATTACCCGTCTGATATATACCCAGCAGTGGCTCAACATCTTCCAATGTTTTGTCATACACTGTCCTTGATTTTTTGTGTGCTTCTCGAAGTCTCTCTAAAGTCATGTTTAGTTGACCGCTTCTCTGTTCATATAGTTCACTCTCAACTGTAGCTCTCTTTTGGGCAGTTTGTGCTAGTGAGAGATTCTTCCGAGCTTCCACCAACTGTTGAAACATTTCCCTAGCCATGTCCCCGATACCCTGTGCTTCCCTCTGGCGCATTGCTCTACAGTCTGCATTACTTCTAACACACGAGGGATCTGGTACCCTCGCAGCACATGTCACATTCTCACAACATGTACTGGGAACCGAAGAATTGTAAACTTGGACAGTGCAAGTTTCAAAAGATGGTACGTCCACTTCCACCCTTTCCCAGTGGAAGACTGGAACACGTGACTCATACACCGGGACACATTTACCATTGCACTGCTTTTTAACACCCACTGGACAATCTTCTTCGACGCAAATTCTGTTGTCTTCCAACCTGCACTCGAGGACAAACCTCCATGTGGTCCTTGTCTCATGGAATGGTGGTACACGAAACATCCTCACTTCTTTGACTGTGATTGGACATTTGCTGGTTTTGTTAACAAATATATGCATTAAACAGTTCCGGCACACTTCTCCAGACATGCAAACATCCACACAGGGCTCTTCAGTACACAGTTCTTCAATTTGCATCAACATTTGTAGATCCTCTCGACTTTCATTTAACTGCTGTTCTATTGTTTTCACTTTCATTTCGGCTATTTCAATTCTGCCCCCAAGTTCATTTCGCTTTTCTTGAGCTAGTGATAATCTTCCAACTGTCTGGTTGTACTGTGTTTCGGTTTACGAAGCCTTTCGAATGACAAATTGAGAGACATCTTACCTACTTCTTGCCGTGCATTGGCCATTTCAGCTAGCATTCTCAGTTTCTTTGTAACCACTTCACTCAGGCTCTCTATGAAGCTGGCACTGCCTGAGAGCAGAGAGCCGTCCACAGTC